ACCTGCTCTTCCAGGCCCGATCACTTAATGGCCCTGGACTGAGGCTTATGCCTGAAGAGTGTAGATGTGGACTCCAAAAGGACAGGAGAAGGGAACAGCCTCCCCGCAGATGAGATCGGGGTGGCTGTGACCAGGAGGGGTGGGCAGTGACAAGGTAGCAGGTCCCCTTGACGCTCAGGATCCAGGAAGCTTCCTTGCTGTCTGGGCCCCTCCCTTAGTCCTGGAACTCAGGTCTCATGAAGGACTCCTGCCTTTGACTCAGCCACTCAACCAGCTGTTTTCGTTTCCGGTGGCACTGGACCTCAGACATGCCAGATACGCGCCCTCCCGTGGTGCCACGTCCACGGCCCTTGTTATTTTGAGGCAGGGTCTGCTAAGTGCCCAGGCTTGTCCTGAACTTGCAGTCTCCTTCCTCAGCCTCCCAAGCAGCTGGCACTGTGGGCGTGCACCACCATGGCACTCCAGTGCCCTGCTGCAACCAGCATGCATTAAGCACCTGCTGTGTGCTGGGCACTGGAGTCCGCAGGGAATAAAGCAATCAAGGTCTCTGCCCTAGTGAGGCCCCAGGGAAGTGGGAGGGACCGACAGCGGGAAGGACAAATAGGTGTTAGCAGGGACAGGACTGCACTTGGTGAGGTTTTGGGGATCCCCTCCCAGCCTAGGCGCCTGCGTCCCTCACCACTGGGCAACCTGTCCTTCTGCTGCCCCCACAGGTGTGATTCGCTCCCTGCACAACCTGGGCCGCCTGGAGCGCACCTTCTGCACAGAGACGCGGCCCTACAACCAGGGAGCCCGGCTGACGGCCTTTGAGCTGGTTTATGAGCACATCCCCGCCACCCTCATCACCGACAGCATGGCGGCCGCCGCCATGGCGCACCGGGGAGTGTCAGGTCAGCGGGCTGCGTGCGGGCAGGTGGGCAGGGCTCCGGGCAGCCAGGACCAGGTCATGTGACCCCTAGCCTCTCACTCCCAGCCGTTGTCGTGGGAGCCGACCGCGTGGTCGCTAACGGTGACACAGCCAACAAAGTGGGCACCTACCAGCTGGCCATTGCCGCCAAGCACCACGGCATCCCCTTCTACGTGGCCGCCCCCAGCTCCTCCTGCGACCTCCGCCTGCAGACGGGCCAGGAGATCGTCATCGAGGAGCGGCCTGGCCAGGAGCTGACCGACGTCAACGGGGTCAGGATCGCAGCACCCGGTAAGCTGGGGGCTCAGACAGGAGACTCTGGCACCTGAGCACTTCTGGGGGTGGCTGGCATGTAGGGCATGGGCAGCCTGCTGGAGGGGGCACAGGCAGCTCTGTCAAGCCATTCCTTACAGCAGGGCACTCTGAGTTCAGGTGAGAATTTGCAGTGAGTAACGTGGTGTCCTGTATCCTCCGAGTGACCTCCTCACCTGAGCGAGAAACAAGAATAGCCCAGCCAGCTGTCTCGGAGGAAACTGAGCCAGGCTGAGGTGTGGCTGTGGTAGGGCCCCAGCCCAGCACGTGGGAGGCCCTGGGTTCCATCCCAGGGCTGCAAAGGGAAAAAAAAAAAAAAAAAGATAAGCTACCATTAAAACCTCTTCATAGAAGCCAGGCTCGATGGAGCATGCCTGTCACCCCAGTGGCTCAGGAGGCTGAGGCAGGAGAATCTCTAGTTCAAAGCCAGATTCAGCAATGAGGAGATGCTAAGCAACTCGGTGAGACCCTGTCTCTAAATAACATACAAAATAGGTCTGGGGTGTGGCTCAGTGGTCGAGTGCCCTGGAGTTCAGTCCCAGTAGAGAAGAGAAGAAAAGAGAAAAGAACCTCTTCGTAAACTCAGGGACCTTCAGTAAATGAATCCACTTGACCTTTAGAAGCATGCCGGTCCCTTTAAATATTAGCTCAAGAAATATCAGCAGTCACAGTGATGATTACAAATAGAAAATGATTTTTTCTTTTTCTTTTTGGTGCCGGGATGGAACCCAGGCCTTGTGCATGCCAGGCAGGTGCTCCACCTACACCCAAGCCCCAGTTTTTGTTGTTGTTGTTTGTTTGTTTGTTTTTCCATTGGCCTGGGAGTAGCTGAGTGGTAGAGCACTTAGGTTCCAGCCCAAGTGCTAGAGAAAAGGAAAGAAAGAAAAAAAAAAAAAGACCTGAAGTAGGACAAACGAGGCAAGGCACCGAAGACGGCAGGAAACAGTTGAATTTGGCTGCAGCCAGGTTCACGGGGCACAGCTTTTGCTGTGATCAATCAATCCCCTGGACCCCGAGCTCAGGCAGTTTCAGAGTTTTATTCCCAGCGTGTAAGGGGAGGGGCTCAGAAGTTCACAGTCTGCAGAAGTTCACAGAAAAGCAGCTTTTTCTTTCACTGTTCTGGGCAAGTTAACCCTTCAAGGACCACACCTGAGAAGGGGAGAGCCTCTTTTCCCCTTTCTTTCCTCCCCCTGCCAGCTGTTACCATGGAGCCCATTTGTAACTTATCTTAAAAACGTAGACATCTCTGTGAAGCCCAGCTCAAGGCCAGAGGCCTTGTTTGCACATTTCTACAAAGTACTATACTGGATGCGTTTGTGAAAAACTAGTAAGGGGGTGTCCAGCACCTGGAGTGCTGGTGTCTTCTCAGCCAGTGGCCAAGTAAACAGGGCGACAGGAAAATAGGAAGTTTATCTCCATTGGACTCTTTCACAGAGACTCTTGCTGACAGTCCTAAAATCAGCCATGGTGAAGATTTCTGGAGAGGCCCAGTTAAGACTTTTCAGTGGAGAAAGGGGGTGCCCTTCAGAACAGGGCTCGGTCCTGAGGTTCTTTCCCACCCTGGCTTGATGGACTGTGCTGCACCCTGCGGGGTCTGAGGTTCCTGATGAAGCCCCGCCGTGGGCAGAGGTGGCCAAGGCATGTGAGGCCGTGAAGCTGCCTCCCCAGGCTGGACGGTCCGAGAATGGAGGGGTCTGATCTTGTCACAGGTGCACTGCCCCAGCCTTCCTGCGCTTCAGGGGCGAGGACTCTCAGATTCTCAAGAATCACCGTGATGGACACAGGTGACAAGAGCCTGGGGACGTCCACAGCGCCACATCCTTGCCTTCACACCTCCCTCTCTCCCTGCAGGAATTGAGGTTTGGAACCCTGCCTTTGACGTTACCCCCCATGACCTCATCACCGGCGGCATCGTCACCGAGCTGGGTGTCTTTGCCCCGGCCGAGCTCCGGACCGCCCTGAGCACCACTGTCTCCTAGCGGAGGGACCCCAGACGGACCGGATGTAACCACCTCAGCCTGTCTACCTTGCCCTTGTGTCTCAGGTTTTATAATAAACTGATCCAGTGGCCTACCCAAAACTGACCTTCCCCCAGTTCTCTTGAGAGCAGGGAGAGGGAGAGCGACAGGGCCTTGCATGGCTCTTCAGAACCCAGCAGCAGGCTGGGGTGGTGGCTCAGTGGGAGAGTGCCTGCCTAGCATATGCGAGGCACTGGGTTCGATTCTCAGCACCGCATAAAAATAAATAAAATAACGGTCCATTGACAACTAAAAGATATTTAAAAAAAGAACCCAGCAGCTGCAACTAAGCTGCCCAATTTCAAATCCCAGCTCTATCTCTTTCTCCATTGTGTTATCTTGGGCAAGTCGCTTCACCTCTCTGTGCCTTTCCTCAATTATAAGATGGGGCTGATACTAGTACCTCCCTTTAGTAAGCAGGGTAACACCTCAAGTGCAAATTTTAAAACGACTCCCCAAAACCTTAGTAATCAAGAGAAATAATATTTTAATACAATTTTTTTATTTTTATTTTTTTTGGGGGGGAGGGGATAGGTACCAGGGATTGAACTCTGAGCCACATCCCCAGCCCTTTTTTTTTTTTTTTTTTTTTAAGAGACAGGGTCGCACTGAGTTGCTTAGTACCTCACTCAAGTGGCTGAGGCTGGCTATGAACTCGTGGTCCTAGTAGTCCCCCAAGCCACTGGGACTACAGGCATGTACCACCACGCTCCGCCTAATGCAGTATTTTTTTCTTTTAAAAGAATTAGGCAGCTGGGCACGGGGCCACACACCATAAGCCCAGCATCTTGGGAGGCTGAGGCAGGAGGATCGAGAGTTGAAAGCCAGCCTCAGCAATTTAGTGAGGCACTAAGCAACTCAGCGAGACCCTGTATCTAAATAAAATATGAAAAAGGGCTAGAGATGTTGCCCAGTGGTTGAGTGCCCTGGGTTCAATGCCCAATAACAACAACAACAAAAAGAATGTAAAAATAATTCCATGGTTCCAAGATTTTAAAGAATTAAACCTTATATTTGCCATTTGAGTTTACTCTCCTCATGCCTGATACCAGCTATGGTTCCAATAAAACTTGATTTACAAAATCAGGCAGCCATTCTACACGGTATAGTTGAATGTGGTGAATTGTATTTGTTTTTGGTTTTTTGGGGAACAGGGTGCTGGGATTGAACCCTCACACACAGCAGGCAAGTGTTCTAGCATAACCACATCCCCAGCCCCGACCTTACTGGGGATTGAGCAGAATCCAACCAGCCTTTTTTTTTTTTTTTTTTTTTTTCCCCTTTCAGTCAAGCTCTCCCTAAATTGCCCAGATGGACCTTCTCGAATTTGCGATCTTCTTACCTCAGGCTTCCAAGTGGGTGGGATTACTGGCGGGTACCATGCGCCTGGTTTAAGATGGTTTAAAACATTGAAAGTGTTCGTGGGGGACTGGGGTGTGACTCAGAGCTTGTGCTTAGCCTGCTAGAATCCCTGGGTTCTATCCCCAGCACTGCGAAGAAAAAAAATGATTACTGAAGTATTTGTCACTCTTTACATTTCCCAGGCCTGGCCTCACCCTAATCCGGGCTTCTGTGTATAAAGAGCATAAAATGATACGCCTTTTAGGAGGCACACACGCGCCCGTGATGTTGACCTTACACACTGGGAACTGCTCGCGAGTGGTATGATTGACAGCGCCTGGGGAGCCACGCTATATCCCGTGAGCCCTTGCGCCCTCTGGCCCCGCTGTATCCCAGGTGCCGCGCTCCTTCCGGTTACGACTGGCCGAGGCCTCGCCCCTTCCGGCGGTGCCCGATCATGGCGCAGGGGCAGCGCAAGTTTCAGGCGCAGAAGCCGGCGAAGAGTAAAACTGCAGCGGCGGCCTCGGAGCGGAACCGCGGGCCGCGGAAAGGAGGTGAGAACTGGGGCCGGGAAGGGCGGGGAGAGCTGGGCTCAGGGCGCCCCGGCCTCATGCCACCGCGTCTTTCCCAGGTCGCGTTATCGCCCCCAAGAAGGCGCGCATCGTGCAGCAGCGGAAGCTCAAGAAGGTGAGCGGGGCCTGCGAGCGGCGCGGGGTGGAGCCGGCGGGCGACCAGAGGTGGCTCCCAGGGAGCGTCGAGGGCCCGGGAGAAGGCCCGGCCTCGGAGCCTCTGCGTCCTCTCTGGCGCGGGGAGTGAGAAACGCGCCTCGCGTTCTGCAGGCCTGGAAGCAGCGAGGCCTGGAACGAGGAGCCTTCCCAGCCCGCCAGCTGCGGGCTGCAAAACCCCGGCTTTGCCAGGAGGCAGCCCTGGGTGCAGATCTCGGCCCCGTCGACAGCTCCTCGCTATTAGCCTTTCACCTGTGAGCCGCCCTTGTAAGGGCACCGCCTTCCCGGCGCTGCGAGGACGGAACGTGGAGGAGCAGAGAGCGCTGAGAGCCCTGCGGGGCGACAGAGGTGCACGGCCTCTCGGTTCGCGTTGTCTTTTTTTCCTGGTACCAGGAATTTAACTCAGGGGCGCTTAACCACGGAGCCATATCCCCAGCCCGTTTTAGTTTTTGAGACCGGGGCCTCACTAAGTTGCTGAGGCCGGCTTTGAACTTGCAACGTTCCTACCCCAGCCTCCGAACCGATGGGACTACAGGCCTGCGCCACCACACCCAGGCTTTTTGTGCTAGTCTTGAAGTGTAGCCGTTCTGTGTAGGTGGGTAGGGTTGAGCTGATGGAGAAATTGGAAGGAAATTCAGGTGTGGTTTTGTCGGCAGCAGACGTGGATTTGAATTGTAGCCCACACTCACTAGTCCTGTCACCTTGAGCAAATCATTTAGTCTCCCCAGAGTGTGATTCTTTAAAAACTGGGTACCTAACCCCCAACCCAAGCACAGTGGCTGGCCCCTTTAATCTTCGCTATTCTGGAGGCTGAGAGAGGAGGATGAAGGCCAGTCATAGTACCTTAGAGAAAGGCTGGGCTTGCACTCGGTGGCAGAGTGCTTGCCTAGCATTTAAGAAGCCCTGGGTTCCTTGACCAGCCCCAGTGGGAAGAGAAAACCTGAGTAGCAGTGGTCTGCGTATCTCTGTCAGGGGTGGGTAGGAGTCTCAAGTACATCCCAGACTCCCTGTGTCCAAAAGAGCTCCTGATACATCTTTCCCGTCCCCCCTCCTCCCCACCCGTGGTCCTGGAGTCTTACCTCACAACATCCTTGAATTCCTGCTTCTCTCCATCCCTTTAGAATTGGTCTGGAATCCACCCACTTCCCATCCATGTCACCTCCCAACTGGACTTCGTGGTCACCCCCCTGCCAGGTCTCCTGGCTTCCACCCTTTCCCCACAGCCACCACAGCAGCCCTAGGGAGCCTGTCCCTGCTCTGCCCAGAACCCCCTTCTCACTCAGGAAAAGCCCAGGTCCTCACCTCAGCCAGAAGGGCCCTGCCCATCTCTCCTCCCCTCTTCCCCCTCCCTCCCTCTGGAGAGTCCTTTAGTGACTCCTTGTCCACTTTGGAACTTCACTCTGGCTGCTTTCCCTGCCTGGACTCTTTCCCTGGGAATCTGCATGGCTCCCTTCCCTTCTGCAGGTGGCTTTAGTGACATCTTCCCTGATGGCAGCGTCACCTCCCCATCATCTCTGATTCTGCACAGCAGCACTTAGTAGCATTTAAAAGTCTAATGCTGAGACCTATCACTGAGACTAATTTCTTCCACACGTTTGCATTGAATATTGGCTCCACATGGGCAGGGATTTTTCCATATCTTGTTCACTCTTATGTCCCCTGTACCTGAGCACGCGGTCAGCCACCCTGGTGGTAGTGGTCATGGTGTTGGAACTTATGTAGGTAGGGAAGGTGCAGTTTGAGGGTGGTGATTCAGCCAGACTGGTTCATGTCCCCATTCAGAGCCGCAGTCACCTTCAGCAAAGCAGAGATGACATGGGATAGGAGGGTCATCTGAGGTCAGAGGCTTTGGGCACCCATGTGGCTTGGGGATCCTGGGCAAGGACCTCCTTGCTACATAGCCTCAGTTTCCCCATCTATAAAGTGGACATGAACAGAGGTACAGACATGAGAAAGTTGTGCATTTAGGCCCCAAAGTGGGTGGGTGAGACTTCCGTCCAGACTCCCAGGCTGGCGCCAGGTGAGGGGAGACCTGCTGACCCAGCTATGAGGGCTCTGGGTGGGAGAGCGGCAGCCCGGCTTCCCCACCTCGGGTTTCTCTGGTTGCTTCCTCAGGACCTGGAGGTTGGGATTCGGAAGAAGATCGAACACGACGTGGTGATGAAAGCGAGCTCCAGTCTGCCCAAGAGGCTGGCGCTGCTGCGGGCCCCAGCCAAGAAGAAGGGGGCCTCTGCCACCTCCAGGAAATCCTCCTGAGGCCCCAGCCCCACTGCACCCCGCAGGCGGCATGGTGGGCAGAGGATCCTGTCCCCAGCTTCGGGTGGCACAGACTTGAGGGGGGTGCCATAGCATGCAGGTGGACCTCCTGGGGCACCAAGAAAGGGGTGTGCTCAGCTGCCTCTGTCCCGTGCCAGGGTCCCGTCTCCACTGCTGTACCCCAGAACAATAAATCTGGCTTGGCCTACCTCCTGTCAGCCCTCCTGCCAGCAGGTGATGCCCACCGGGCTCCACTGAAGACCTGTCCTGTCCCAGATGATGGTGCTCTGCACATGGAGCTGGGAGGGCTCTTGTGCTTACTGAGACCCTAGGTGACTCTGGTCACTTACTCTGTCTGCCCAGCCATTCCTCAGCCCTGGGGACACAGCCAACGAGGAGCCACCTTGTAAGGTCCCAATGCCAATCAGCCCTGCCCCCATAAAGCATTGCCTGTGGGCAGGCACTGTACGTCACCGCAACTGGCGGGACGCCCGGGTTGGTCATGGCATTGACGTTCCAGCTTGAACCTGCAGCTGGCAGACGCCTGGCTGCCTGTCCCCGGCACTGTCACCAGACCACAGTCTCCCTGTCCATCCTGGGGCCCCTCCACTGCATTGGTACTCAGGTCTGCTGGGCTGGACTACCTGTGGGTCCGCAGGGCACTGGCCTGGTCACTGCCCTTTTCTCCTGTGGCTGTGGTCTGGGTGACACTGAACTGTGGTCTTTGGGGAATGGGGCCTGTGGACACAGATGGCTGGGCCCCCATGGCCCATCCTTTCATGACCGCCTCATGCCTCCAAGGAGTTGGCGTCACCAGTGGATGTCCCTAAGTACTTAAGCATATGGATAGTGGCTCCCAAAAATCCACGTGTTTAGGTGTGATCCCCAGGGTATTGCTATTGGGAGGTGCTGTGGACCTTAAAGAGTAGAGACGAGCTGGGGCTCAGTAGTCCAGCGCTTGCCCAGGACCTGTGAGGCCCACATCCAAATAAATAAAATGTGTTCATCAACTAAGATTAAATTGGTTTTTTAAAAAATAGGGGCTGGGGGGCTGGGGATATAGCTCAGTTGGTAGAGTGCTTGCCTTGCATGCACAAGGCCCTGGGTTCAATCCCCAGCACCACCAAAAAAAAAAAAAAAAAATAGGGGCTGGGGTTGTGGCTCAGTGGTAGAGCGCTTGCCTAGCACATTGCGAAGCCCTGGGTTTGATCCTCAGCACCACATAAAATAAAGGTATTTAGAAAAAAAGTAGAGCATGCTGGGAGGTCCTTGGGTCACTGGAGAGAGACATGACTTCAGGAGCCTGTGGGACCCCAGCTTCCTGTCTTTGTGAGCAGTTGCTCTTACACATGTCCCCTGTGTCCCCTCCCACTGCCATCTGGCACCCTCACCACAGGCCCAAAGCAGTGAGGCCCCCTGGTCTTGGGCTGAAATGAAGCTTCATAAATAATAGTGTGGGGTGCTCACTAGCAGCGCAGCACTGGGTGTGATGTCCCCAATCCACCCCAGGCAGAGACTTGAGAAAACAGGTGTTCACGCAAATACCTGTGCACAGGTGATTCTAGTAGGATTATTTACAACAGCCCAAAGGTGTGGAGGAGCAGAGGGGGTCTGGCCACACAGTGGAGTATTGTTTTCCCTTGAAGAAGGATGAAATGCTGCTGCAGACCAGGGCACAGTGACCAATGAGAGGCCAGACAGGAGAGGCTGCAGAGTGTGGTTCTGTTGGTAGGAAACTTCCAGAACAGAAAAGTCTACAGGGACAGAAACATCAGGGGACAGGGAGTGACTGCTAGTGGGGGCAGGGTCTCCTTTTAGGGGATGGAAATGTTCTGGGACCAGGTAGAGGTCATTGTGCACATTGAGGTGATGAGTTTTAGCAGGGCACCCCTGTGATCCCAAGGGCTCCGGCGGCTGAGGCAGGAGGATGGCCAGTTCGAAGCCAGCCTCAGCCACTCAGTGAGGCAGGAAGCAATTCAGTGAGACCTTGTCTCCAAAGTTTTTTAAAGGGGAGTGGGCTGTGGCTGTGGCTCAGTGGTTCAGTGTCCCTGGGTTCAATCAATCCTTGGTACCAAAAAAAAAAAGTGTATGTGAATTTTACATCAAAAAAGTGGGGGGAAGAAAATTTTCACAAACGAAAAAATCCTGGCTCAACATATTTTTAAATGTTTGTTTAGCTGTAGGTGGACACAATGCCTTTACATTTATGTGGTGCTGAGGAGCAAACCCAGCGCCTCCCATGTGCGAGGAAGGCTCTGCCCAGCCCCGGCCATGCCCCAGCCCCAGCCCGACTCCACCTCTTCTTCAAGAAGTGAAGGTGCGGCTGGGGCTGGAGCTCAGCAGAAGAGCGCCCACCTGGCACGCGTGGGGCATGGGGTTCGGTCCTCAGCACCTTATGCAAATAAATAAAATAAAGGAATCACGTCCAGCTACAGCTAAAAAAAATGTAAAAAGAAAAGAAGAAAGAAATGAAGTTGTGGCAGCAGCGCCCACTCAGACGGGAGGCCCCAGTTGGAGTTTCCCATCTCCCACCTTCTGCTTCTGTGGCAGGAGGCGGCTGAAGGAGAGCGGGGCACAGGGCTGGGGGCGGGGGGCTGGGGTGGGCTGCTGAGCCTCCCGAGGGGACCAGGGCCCTCACCTGTGCCCAGCTCAGCAGCGAGTGACATCTGCCCTTGGCGGCTCTGGGACCACTCAGCATTCGTTCTGTGCCCGTCTCTGCCCTGGGCAGAGCTCAGAACTGACTCTAGTGAGAACAGGACACAAGCCCCACCCCAGCCTGTGGCCCCTGGAGACCACCCTCCTCCCTGCCTTGGCCCCCGGCCTTTGCATCTGGAATTTCAGCCCCTGACTGCCCTCCCCAGATGTCCCCTGGAGCAGCCTGCCCTGTCCCCTGCCCTGGTACGGACCTTTCTGAGTTTCTGCTTCGGTCTGTTTTTGCTGCGTGTGCTGGGGTGGCACCCGGGGCCGCACACAGAGCACGCAGGTCCCCTGTCTCAGGCCCATGCGGTCTTGGTGGTGGCTGTTGGCTGCGGTGCCCGGAGCCCCGGGCACAGGTGTGCTGGGGCGGGCGCGGCCCTCCTTTCTGCGAGGACAGCCCGGCTTCCAGGAGCCGGTCCTGCGCGGCTCTGCACAGCCGTCGCGGGTACCGCGCCACTGGCCGTCTGAACCCCTCCAGGACTCCCGGCTGGAGCCGCGGAGCCCCGCGTCGTCCTTCTAACCCACTGGGCTCCGGGCTTCGGGGCCTGGGACGCTGCAGGGCCACCTCCGACCCACGGGGAGCCGGTGGCCTGGGCGCCTGCGCTTCACACCCTGGACCCGCGAACGCCTGCGCCTCCGGCTCCGGCCCTTTGATGCGCTGGGGCATCTGCCGGCTCCGCAGGAGTTAAATTAAAATTTAACACGTTCGCATCTTTCCATGCCTTTGAGAGCCACCGTCTTTTGAAAACTATCTTTCCGTCTGAAGAGGAAAGAGCCACGACAGGCTGGGCCCTGGTGCCATCTGGCACCTGCCTCGGCCACCAGGAGGCGCCTAGGCCGGGGGCCAGGGCCGCCCACAGGCGGGCGCGCGGGCGGGCCAGAGAGCCCTGAAAATTGGCTCCTTTTGTGTCTCCTCCGCCAGCCCCTTGGAGGAGGAAGGACCTCGGGGGCAAAAGAGCTTTCGGGAGCTACAGGTAGGGAGTCTGGAATGTGGACCCACCTGTTTGTCCCCCTTCGCCTGTCCCCCTGGCCCCAGCCTCATTTTCCCATCCTTTCCCTGGACCTCCCCCCACCAGGACTTCCACCTGCCCACAAGCCCCCCTTTAGCACCGGACCCGACTCCAAAACCCCACACCTTAAGTTCTACACCATATTTTCGCCACCTAGCTGTGTGACCTTTAGCAAGTGTCTAACTCTCTGAGCCTCAGTTGTCCCATCTGTTAAATGGAGAGCCCAACACCCTGCCCTTGTGTGGATTCAGGAGCCTGAAGGACTTGGGACTCGCTGATGTAACTGGGTACAGCCCTTGGGTGCTGGAGGATGGGGACGAGGAAACTCAAGTTTGGCCACCCCCGTGGGCCAGGGGTGTCATTAAATGTGAGTTTTCAGATCCAATTTTTCTCACTCAAGCCTCTTCCTGCACCTCCCCCGGGCCTGGAATGCCCGTTTCCTGGCCAGGCCCTGATTCTCGCACGTGAACTGGTGTTTGGAGAGGAAGGAAAGAGACGCAGGCAGCTCTTGCTTGCCAGCCGGCCATCTCCACCAGGAAGCAAGTGACTGACCAGGCTGGTTTCCTGCTGCGTCAGCAGGGGTTCGGGTGCAGGGGGCTGGACTCTCAGAGAAGTGGGGTGGGGTGTCCTGAGCCAGAGGTCGGGGTCCCCTCCCTCGTCCGAGCCTCCGGGAAGCCCCATTTCCATTCCGTGGGTCAGGTCGAGAGAGGACACGTGGGTTTCGGGTCAGGAGCTGCACATGCCTAGACAGTGAGCTCACGCTGCGGCAGGGATGAATGTGGCTTCCATTTCCCGAAGCCAGAGCTCGCGGGCTGCCCCGAGACGGAGGGCGCGAGTGACTGGGGCCCACGCCTCACCAGTCCCCCACTTCTCCTCCCTTGAAGTTCTGCCTGGAAGGAGGCCAACTTGAAATAAGCCTAGAGACTTCATCCTGCGGACTCCCTACCTCCCAGGGGCCTTTTGGACGTCCCACATTCTCCCAGGATTACTGTGTGGCCTTGGGCAGTTTCCCAGCCCTCTCTGAGCATCTTTTCCCTCACCCATAGAATCAGTGGATGAGAGCCCAGTGTTCCTGTTTCCCAAACTCTGCTCAGGCGCTTCCTTCTCCTGCTGTGGGCCCAGGGCAAGTCATTCTGTCAGCTCCCTGCCCACCTTCCCTGTCCAGCACAGGGTGGCAGTGAGCCTTTGAGATGGGCTGGCCCCCACCGGGCTGTGCTGTAGATGTGGACACAGACTGCGATTCAGAGTAGTGTGTCTTTCTGTGTCCCAGACTTCTGGCATGTGAGACGGGGTGCCGTCAGTATTCACCCCATTAGAGGACAGAGCACCCTCAGCCCATGACACCCATTCTCTGTTCTCTTAGGACCAACCCGCCGGCCTAGGGTGCCCTCAGGACACCACTATGCCCCCTGGAGGGCAAGGACGGGCTGGCTGTCACACGGCTGGTGGGTGCTGGAAAGCCAGGCCTAGATCGAGGGGATCTGCCAGGTCCCCTGCCTCCCACCCCTTACTCCCTCCCACATGGCCCCAAATCCTTCCTAAGAAAGATTCGCCCCCGGTGGGGGTGGGACTCACCCGTGCCAGGCCCTGGGTTCCATCCCAGCACACCCGCACACACCCGCACACCCGCACCCCGGCCCCTGCAACCTCCGACTCCGCACAGCCCCACCTGGCTTCCACGTGGCTCGCCCGTCCTGCTGGGTGACCCCAGGCCCGCCAAGCCTCAGTTTCCTCGTCTGGGAGATGGTGACGCTCCCCACTGGCCAGTGCCGTTGGAAGCCCAAACTCCATCACCCATCTCAACAGGGACAGCACCACACGAGTGGCCGCCTCTGTGGTGACCCACACGGCCCTGGCTTCTCCCGACAGCAAAGTCCAGTAGAAACAGCCAGGTTGAATGTCCTGACACCACGTGAAACTCAACAGGGGGCTAGATTTACCAATGTATTATGTTTAGCCACCATCTCAACATTTAACCAGTATTTTAATTAAAGTGTATGTGTGTGTGTGTGTGTGTGTGTGTGTACCCTTTCAGGACTGGGGATGGAACCCAGGGCAAGTGCTCCACCACTGAGCACTTTGCACTAGCCCCACCTTAAAGTTTCGAGACCTCTGGTGGCCACGGCCACCCCTGGCTGGTCAGAGGGAAGTGTCCATATGGAGGGGAGAGTCAGGCCTCTGAGGGGCGGCTTGAGGTCCTCCTGCGGCAAGCATTTCAACTAAATGGGGGTGAAGGACAAGCTGGTTCCTTGGAGGAGCTGTAGACTGAGTACCTACTGTATGCGTTCCAGGTGCTGCAGAGAGGAACTCCAGCCTCCTGGGGCTCACAGTCAGGAGTGGGACAGAAATTAGCCTCAGGAATAGATGATGGATCCACGATAGTGGCGAGAAGAGCGAGGAAGGTTCTCTGAGATCATGGGTTGGGGATGGGAACGACCCATGGAAGATAAGGCCGGTTTCCAGGCCAGAGGTGGTGGCCTGAACAAGCTGAGTTGGAAAGTGATGGGAAGTGGTGGGATTTGACATGTATTACATGGAATGAAATTCCCACTTTTACAGGTCGAAAATGAGGAATTCCATATGATTCAACATATTGTTTAGGAAGCAGAAAGGATTGGGGAGTATCCTAGCTTGAAGCTCAAGGAATGGTCTACAGACCTCCTAAGTGAGCCCGGTTTCAGGAGAGAGGGTCTGCAGCCCACATAAACTCTACAAGGAAGGCTGCGACCCACAGCCCTCCTCCCGAAGCATCAAAACGACCCGGAGCCCAGAGAGGTTGAGTGATTTTCCTGGGGGTCACACAGCCCGGAGAGAAGAGAGGCTGAGCTGTTGCCCAGGATCCCACCGCTCCGTCTAGCTCCTGGCTGGCTTATGTTGATTGTCCCCATGCAGCGCCCGGAAGCGACCCTCAGTAAACAAAGCCGTGTGTGGGCGCAGCCCCAGCTGCCCCGGGCGCACTGTCCAGCCCGAGGGGGGCGGGGGAGGAATGTTGTGAATGAACCCAGGGCCCGCCCCGAAACTCCGCATAAGGCAGGCGCCGCAGGGGTTCTCCAGATCTGATTGGCCTGCGGCGCCCCGTGATTGACAGCGCCCCTCGCTTTACTCTCTGATTGGGTGGATGCGAGAAAACAGGCATCTCAGCCAACGAATGAGCAGTGGAATATTGGAGACGGGTCTGGAACCGCAGCCAATGATAGGAGAGGACCGCGGAGGCCGAGGGGGGAGTCCAATGGGGACAGGCGCCGGGGGCGGGACAACGGCGGTGGATAAAGCGGCGGCCGAAGCAGCTTCATTGTTGTGAAGAGTCTTAAAGGGGCCGCATCACCCGGCTGGCCCGGTGCGGGGCGGGGTGGGTGCAGCGGGGGTCCCGGGGCGGCCGAGAGCAGAGGAAGGACAGGAAAGCGAGTAGGGGCCGCGGGATCCGGCGAAGCGAACTGAGCACCGGACAGACCCCCCCAAGCAGGCCCCGCCCCGGCCCCGGCCCGGCCGATGGACCCCCCCGCGGCCAAGCGGAGCCGGGGCTCCCCCGCGGGACCGGAGGAGCGAGATGCCGGGGCCGGGGCAGCGCGCGGCCGGGGCCGACCCGAGGCGCTACTGGACCTCAGCGCCAAGCGAGTAGCCGAGAGCTGGGCCTTCGAACAGGTGACCGAGGGGGGAGGGGTGCTGGGAGGGACGCACCCCCAGCCCTGTCCTCAACGCCCCTTCTCTTCACCCCTTCTCCTCCCAGAGACTCCGGACCCACCTCTGCTTCTGAGACCCCCTGAGATTGCACCCCCTAGAGCCCTAACACTGCCCGAATCGCTCCCGCATCCTCCGTGGCTGTTCTTCAGACCCTGGGACCACCCTCCTTCCCTTCGCCCCATCCCCACCCCTCGGCGCCCCAGATTCCCTCGCGGGGCACTTCCTTCTCCTCTGTCCCTGACCCCTGGGTCCTCCCGTATCGCTAGGTACCTGGTGTTCCCACGGCACCCTCATCTCCCAGTGAGGACGCCCCACTAAGACCTCACTCCTCTCTCAAACTCTTAGGAACAGCTCCCACTTTGGGACACTCTACGTCCCCAGAAGCCCACATTTCCCCATTCCTGCCCTCCATATCCCCAGGTGGAGGACTCCCCAGGTCTCCAGATCCCAGCTCAGGACACCCCCTTTCTGCCCTCCTATCCCAGCCCTCAGGTCTACAGAACCCACCCATCTTTGGGGTCCTCCTCCTCTCCAGATCCTCCCTCCGGAGGCTGCTCAGCCCCTGGCAGCAGGGGTTGCTCAGGGGGTCTTCCCTTCCCCCACATCTCACCTCCCCCTCCCCCCACCAAGCTATCCCAGTGCTTCTGGGAGGGAGAGCCCAGGCAGAGCCTAGGAGGTACCTGTACAGGTACACCTGGAACCCCACATCTGTGGCTTCTGGGGGGCTCCTTGAAGTCCTCTTTCTAGTCCTGGGTGTGGGCCCCAAGGAGCTGGAGATGTGTCTGAGCCTAAGCAAGTGCAGCCCCCACAGGCTCTGTCCTCTGACTGTGGGGGGCATTCTCTGCTCCCAAGTCAGGACTGATGGGTTCGGCCGATTGTGCATGGAGTAGGCTGATTCACGGACCGGAAAATCCCTCCTTAGTCATCTGCCAACTGTCACTGGGCCAGTCACCAGCTCTCCCACTTCCCCCAGAAACCTACATAGGACAGGGGCTAAGTCCCCTTTATTGTGTGGGAAATACACAGAATAATCCCCAAACCATATCTAGGGCTCCCGTGTGTGTACCTGCCGTGGATAGGCCAGATGCTAGAGGAGTTCTTTCACCCTTTGAGGATTGTCATTCTCATTTTGAAGGAACTGGGGCACAGAGAGGTTGGGAAACTTGCCCAAGGTCACCCAGCCTGTGAATAGCAAACCCAGATTGGAGGGCAGGCTCAACCAGCTGGTTTCATTGCCTGGAGTCCACAGGGGTGGCCTGGGCACACCTCGATTCCTGGGGGCCCTTCCCAGGGGAGGGGCTCAAAGAGGAAACGGAGGAATGGAGCCAGCTTGGGGACCCTGAACAAACGAAGTCGCTGTGCGCCTGAGCCTCAGCTTCCCCTGGCTGTAAGACTAGGTGGAGGCTCAGTGTGGGCCAGGTGGTTGTGAGGTCAGGGAAGTCAGTCCCCAGGACATTCCACACAGTGCACACTGAGAAAGTCACCCTTGATCTTCATTCTTATCACTTTTATGTCACTTCCTTCTGACCCCCCCCCCACCAGTGCCTGGAAGTGGGAAAATCTTATGCCAGAACCCAGGGACCTGGAATCCTGGAGGGAATCTGTAGAAAGTTCTGGAATGCTAAGGATGGACCAGGCATCATTTTAAGTGCTTTACATCCATCAGTGCTGGGTGTGTTGGGTGGCTGTGGTTTCTCTGTCTCGTTTTGTTTGTACTGGGGTGAAACCTAGAGGCGATTTACCCCTGAGCCACATTCCCAGCCTTATTTTTTTTTCTTTTTTGTGGTGCCCGGGGGTCAAACCGAGGGCCTCATGCATGCTCCCCAGCCCTTTTTATTTTTTATTTTGAGACAAGGTAGCGCTAAGTTGCTTAGGGCCTCATTAAGTTGCTGAGGCTGGCTTTGAATTTGTGATCCTCCTGCCTCAGCCTCCGGAGTTGCTGAGATTACAGGCATGCGCCACTGTGCCTGGCTCCCAGCCTATTTTTTTATTTTGAGACAGGGTCTGACTGAGTTGCTGAGGCTGGCCTCAAACTTGGAGATCCTCCTGCCTCAGCCTCCTGAGTCACCAGGATTGCTTCTTGCTGTGAAGCTCAGTTTTTTGTTTTTGTTCTTTATTTTAAAGATATGGGGTCTCAGGCTGGGGATGTAGTTCAGTTGGTAGAGTGCTTGCCTGACATGCACAAGGCCCTGGGTTCTAATCCCCAGCACCACCAAAAAAAAAAAAAGAGAGAGAAATGGGGTCTCTCTGATGCTCAGGCTGTTCCTGAACCCCTGAGCTCCAGCAGTCCTCTCTCTTCAGCTTCCTGAGTTGCTGTGACAACAGGCAACCTGGCTCACTTGAGCATATGTATCTCAGGAGATGGCTGCTGTTCACATCCCGCTTTACACTGGGGATGCTGAGGTTCAGGGAGGCCGATGGCTTGCCCAGGCCGTGTGCGTGTGCCTCTTGTAAACAGCAGAGGGTTGTCCAGCAGGGGTTCCAGCTCGGCTTCTGACCCACCAGCCCTTCCTGCAGGTGGAGGAGCGCTTCTCCCGGGTACCGGAGCCGGTTCAGAAGCGCATCGTCTTCTGGTCGTTTCCACGCAGCGAGCGGGAAATATGCATGTACTCCTCGCTGGGCTACCAGCCCCCGGAGGGCGAGCAGGACGCCCGGGTGCCCTTCACCCGCGGGCTGCACCTGCTGCAGAGCGGGGCTGTCGACCGGGTGCTGCAAGTGGGTGAGTGTCTGTCCCCAGCCCTCCAGGGAGGTCCAGCGCAGGCGGGGGTGCAGGGGGGCTGTGGTGGAAGCTTCCAGACCTCGGGCTTGGAGGCCCAGGTAAGGTCAGCGGAGAGACTGTCACCTCAGATATGGTCCTAGACCTTGGGCAGCAGGAAGTGGGGGCAGGGAGGTCCCAGAGTGGACACGAGGCCCAAGCAAGGCTGAGCGCAGAGACAACAGTCACCCCACATCCTGGCAGAGGCCCCTGACTGGGGCCTGCAAGGGGACCAGCACAGCGGGTTGAGATGGTCTTAGACCTCGGGCCTCAGGCCCAGCTGGGCTTGGGCGCAGGTTGTGAGCTGCAGGTGGAAGGCAGACCTCGGGCGGCTGAACTGGGGACCAAGGGAAGAGGTGGGATCAGAGGAGCAACCAAACCATGGGTGAGAGAAGTGTCTAGACTGCAGACAGAGGGACCCGGCGATCCGATGGAGAGTTCAGAGCCAGAGGTAGGAGCAATCCCAGACCTGGGACCAGGTGACAGGCGGACCCAGACACGCAGAGCCAGGCGAGAGCTGGTCAGAGCTCAGGCAGGGAGGCTGGGGTCAAGGTCAAGAGCCATCTGCAGCACAGCAGTGACTGCAGGTCACAAAAATGTGTTGTGTATTATATAAAGAACCAGGAGGAGGAGTCGGAAGCTTTCAAGCACAGAAATGGTCAGTGTTAGAGGAGCAGGAAGGCCGATTCTCCAGACTGGGTCATCACACGTGTGGACGGTGCCGAGTTATCACCCACACCCTGTACATGTGTGGGATTGTTATGTGCCAATTAAAGAAATGATTAAAACCGAATTTAAAAAAGAAGGGTTTAGGGCCATCGTGGAGGGATGGTCTCGAACCTAAGGCAGTGGGGCCGAGGTAGGAATGTCGAGTAGAAGTTTAGGGTCAGATATGAGAGGCAGCCTTGGACCTCAGGCGGCGGGGCCCAGGTGAGGACGGAGGCCCGAGTCCAGAGCTGGAGGAGGAAGCTGACCTAGACCTCAGGCGGCGGGGCCCAGGTGAGGGTTGGGGGAAGGTTATGAACTAGAAGGAGAGGAGGGGACTGCAGAGCTGGAGCTGGGGGGGATAGGGAGGAAAGGCCTCAGACCTCAGGCGGCGGGGCCTGCAAGGGGACCAGCACAGCTGTGCCAGGAAACAAGCCCAGCCTGGCACTCTAGCCTCCTGGGTGGCAGGCCATGGCAGGGACCAGTCAGCTGTCGAGCCCCCCTTGCCTGGACAGTGCCCAGATGTCCACAGGCTGCTGGCCTCCTCCGGTATGAGGAAGCCATGTCTCTGTGTGACTCGAGCTGGCCCAGGCTGCCCAACCAGTCGGATGAGCCTGAGAGACACCTGGGCTGCCCAGGGGCCAGGGAGGGGCAGGGGGTACGGGGGTGATGTGGCCCCTGGCCTGCCACATCAGCCCCTCACTCTCAAGTGTCACCAGCCTTTAGCATCTTCCGAAAGCCCGGGCGGTATCCATGGTAACCCAAGGACTGACAGACCATCTTGAACTTGGGGGCTGTGGTACACTGTCACTGGAAGGAGAAGGAGGGTTCGCCCAGGACTGAGCTTTACACCAGTGTCCTGAACGTTTGTCGCATATTAGGTCACTTAATTTCTCTGTAAATCCGGGGGCGTCGTTAGCATTCCAGTTGGACAGTCGGGAACCGAGGCACAGGCAGGGCTCAGCTGGGCTGTGCAGGGGGACGGGGCCACCTGGGTCTGGGTTGACACACCAGGCTGTGGCCTCTGCTTGTAGGATTCCACCTGAGCGGGAACGTCAGGGAGCCCGGGGCCCCCGGGGAGCCGGAGCACCTCTACCACGTCTCCATCAGCTTCGACCGCTGCAAGATCACGTCTGTGAGCTGCGGCTGTGACAACCGAGACCTCTTCTATTGCGCCCACGTGGTGGCCCTGTCCCTGTACCGCATCCGGCACGCGCGCCAGGTGGAGCTGCGGCTGCCCATCTCTGAGACGCTGTCCCAGATGAACCGGGACCAGCTGCAGAAGTTCGTGCAGTACCTCATCAGCGCCCACCACACCGAAGTGCTGCCCACCGCCCAGCGCCTGGCCGACGAGATCCTGCTGCTGGGTTCCGAGATCAACCTGGTGCACGGTGAGGGCGCATGCGCCAGGGCAGCCGCTCAGCCCACGGCCATGGGGGTCGCTCGGTACCAGGCGCCTCGGTGCCTGCCACGGCGGGGCAGACGGCATTGCCTGCGCAGACCCAGGGCACGTCCCCAGTGAGTGGCAGGTCCTGGTTATACTTGGCCTTGGGGCAGATGAGTGGTCAGGAACCAGGACTTGGGCAGAGGGTGGGGGCCAGAGGGAAGAACCAGTGTGCAAGGTCCTCCCAGGGTGGAGACGGCTCAGAATCCGGGGCGCAGGCCTGCGTGGGTGGGTGGAGGGCGTGAGGATGGGGGTCGTGGGAGGGGCCTGAGAGACGCAAGGGCTTGCCACGGTGGGGTGGCGGGAAGAGAGCAGCTGAATGAGCAGTGGGCGGGGCATCGGAGGGGGACTCTGGGCGGGGCTGGTGGGTGCAGAAAGCTGGGATCAGGGGGTGAACTGTGGTGTGGGAGAATAAGTGGGGTGAGTGCATGGGTGGTGAAGGACGATGGAGGGTGAGTAGGCGCTGGTGGTGAGGAAATGGGTGGGAGGCTCTGGCAGTGGACAGTGGGGTTGGCGGAGAGCGGAAGGACCAGCGGAGGCCCAGCTTGGGGTGCGTCGTGGGTGCGGGGAGGGTCTGCAGTGTGGATGGACGTGTGGTGGCCGTGGAGGGTGGGTTTGTGTGGGATGGACGGACAGGTGGAGGGTGTTTTGAGAGGGACTGTGAGCGGCTGGTGGACACAGGGAGGTGGCAGGGGCAGGGACTAATTGGATGGGGGTTAGCAGGTGTGGGGGTTGATGGTGAGTGGGAGGGTGGGGATCCCGAGTGGTAGATGCACGTGGGTTGAAAACCTGGGGCAGTCAGCGGGTGGAGTGATGGGATGGGTATGTAGGTGGAAGGGCCATGGGAATTATGGGTTGGGTGGCCGTGTGGTCATGTTCAAGGGGTCAGGATATGTGGGCTGATGGGGGCCATGGTAAGGTGGATAGAGACAGGCATAATGTGGCTTGGCAGATGTGTGTTTCAGGTGGGATGGATGGATGGGTGGGTGGGTGGATGGATGGATAGGTGGATGGTAGATGGATGGGTGGGTGGATGGGTGGGTAAATCAATGAGTGGGTGCTATCCTGAGTGGGATAGGTGAGTGGATGAATGGGTAGATGGATAGATAGCGTTTGGTAGATGAATGGATGAGATGGATGACTAAGTGGGTGAGTAAGTGGATGGTATTCGGGGCAAGATGGATGGATAAAGGGACTGGTGGGTGTATGGGTAGATGGATGGACAGATGGATTGGTAGGTGGATGGGTGGTGGGAGGGATGGACAGACAGGAGGGTGGGTGGTGCTTACTCTAGGAGAGATGGAACTTTGGGATAGATGGGGTGACTCAGAGGACTCGATGGGGAAGGGGGACAGACACCCTCTCTCCCACCCCAGCCTGGGCTTCCCTTCACCCACCCCTGCCTTCCTGCAGGTGCCCCCGACCCCACAGCAGGTGCGGGCATCGAGGACGCCAACTGCTGGCACCTGGATGAGGAGCAGATCCAGGAGCAGGTGAAGCAGCTGCTGTCCAATGGCGGCTACTACGGGGCCAGCCAGCAGCTGCGCTCCATGTTCAGCAAGGTGCCGCATGGGCACAGGGCACGGGGGCTCAGAGGCCCAGCCCTGGCACCCCACACCGTGGTCACTGCCCTGTCCCCGTGCAGGTGCGGGAGATGCTGCGGATGAGGGACTCCAACGGGGCGCGCATGCTCATCCTCATGACGGAGCAGTTCCTGCAAGACCCGCGCCTGGCCCTGTGGCGGCAGCAGGGGGCGGGCATGACGGACAAGTGCCGGCAGCTGTGGGACGAGCTGGGTAAGGCTCCCTGCCCAGGTCTTGCTCCCCCGATAGGAGCATGTCCCTGGATCCTCCTCCATTTATTGAGCACCTCCAACATGTGGGTGCTGTACAGGATGCTGGGAGAGAACAGACAGACGGGTCCTGCTCTCGGGGGCTGACATGGGACAGGAGAGGGACAATGAAATACCATACTATTGTCCCTCAGTATCCAAGGGGGATGGGTTCCAGGACCCCCCAGGGACACAAAAATCTGTGTGTGAGTAAGACCCTCATATAAAAAAGAAAAATGGGCTGGGGGTGTCGCGCAGAGGGGGAACGTTGCCAACCTGTGCAGAGCCCTGGGTCCCATCCCAGCACCACAAAAGTAAAAGTAAAATTAAAAATGGCCTACTATGTGCAGAACCTACTCACATCCTTCATATATTCCTTATTTATTTGGAGCTGGGGTGAAACCCAGGACCTTGTGCATGTTCAGCACATGTCCTACCTGAGCTATGCCCCAGCCCTTCCGTGTTCTTAAGTCACCAGGAGATCACTTATAACACCTAACACAGAGGAACGGCCACGGGAGGAGGGTTGCATTGTTTAAGGATTAATGTGAAGGGGGGAAAGTCTGTACGTGTTCAGTACAAATATAATTTTTTTCCCCAAAAATATTTTCAACCCAAGGTTGGTTGAATCCAGATAGGTGACCGCTGGATTTGGAGGGCAGATGGTCAGCCTAGGAGGCCAGGGGTCAGCGTGTGTTAAAGGGGAAAACATGCGAGAGATAAAAAGGAAAACAGAAAAATTGAGGGGAGTCTGGCGACCTGGATTTGAATCCTGATTTCTAACTTAAATGACCTTGGATGAGTGTGCTTCCTCCTTGGGCCTGATTTCTCTTACCCATTAAGTGAAGAGACTTATTAGCGCCACCTCAGAGGGTCCAGATCAGGAGTGAGCGGAACTGCCCAGGACACGGGGGATGCTCTGCAGCGTCTGGTGGGAATGTGGCCTCCTCCGTGCCTTCTCAGGGGCCCTCTGGGTCTGTGTCATCCTGAGCCCCCACTGCAAACCAGAGGAGCGGGCGGGCTGGCTCCAGCTGCTTGGCACATGGGACAAGCTGGACGTGTGCCCACTGGAAGAAGGCAACTACTCCTTCGATGGCCCCAGCCTGCAGCCCACCATGGCTCCCAGCCCAGGTAGGAGAGGGTTCCAGCTTGCTGTCCCCCACAAACCCATCACCGCTGGCTATGTCCCGACTTTGTATCATGCAACTCTGTCTGAGGGGAGAGAGGGAGTCGGGGAGAGAAGGGAGCCCCAGCTGTTGCTTGTCCTCTCAACCAGGATGGAGGAAGTGGTGAGGGCAGGTGCAGAGGCAGCCTGCAGGACCCAGAGCTGGTCTCCTAGCTCCACCTCCTGTTATCTGTGGAGACAGAATACAGAGGGAAGAAAACAGGTGTCAGCAAACACAAGGGGGACGTGAGATATTGAAAGGGAGAGGAAGGAAGAGAACAGAAAAGAATGGAGAGAGAGGAGGAAAGAGGCAGACAGGAGGTGGAGAGAGAGGCCGGGGGAGAGGAGAGGAGAAAGGGCAAGCCGGGAGAGAGATGGTCACTGAACCGCTGTTCTGCTGTGACCGCCACCAGCAACCCCCACGCATCTTCGAAGGTGCTTTGAGGACTGGGAGCAAGCCCATGCCCATCCTCTGCCCAGGGTCTGACCCCATGGCGGCACCTAGTGGGGGAAGGTGAGTGTGGCTAGGGCCCCCCTCACTGGACCACACTGGGTCCCTCTCCCACAGGCTCCGAGGAACAGGAAGAGGGGGAGGTGGCGGCCACAGGTTCCCGCCACACGGTATTTGGCCGCGCCCTGCAGGCTGGAGACCTGCACTGGGAAGACCCTCACCTGCAGCGGATCCTGGCCGGCGACTCCTACAGCCCCAGCCTCACAGGCACCATGGGCGGTGACAAGTCAGCCTTCGACCCTCAGGGCCGCCCACTCTGGCTGGGCGAGCCTTTTCCAACTGCTTGTGCCCGGGTGGACACCCTGCGTGCCCATGGGTATCCCCGCCAGGCCCTGCGGCTGGCCGGTGCCATAATCAACACGCTCCGGCTCCAGCGGCGGCATCAGCTTGAGAGCTACAAGCAGCAGAAAAAAGGTGGGGCGAATACTCTCCTCACGTCCCTGGGGCGGTGGCGCACGCCTGTCATCCCAGCAGCTTGGGGAGGCTGAGGCAGGAGGATCGCCAGTTCAAAGTCAGCCTCAGCAACTTAGCAAGGCGCTGAGCCACTCAGCGAGACCCTGTCTCCAGATGAACTGTTGACAAGGGGCTGGGGAGGAGGCCCAGTGGTGAGCTCTTGCCTGGGGTGCTGCAGGGCCTGGACTCAGTCCCAGGACTGGGAAAAGAAAAAAACGTTTGGGGACTGGATATGGAGGACAGGAGAAGCCATCCATTGAGTTCTGTGGGCTGGGAACGGGTCACTTAGTTACCAGGAAATTGAACAAAGTGTAATGAAGGATCTTCAGGGTGCTCTGGGCTTGAGAAGAGCCCTGACCCAGTTTGAGGGCTCAGGGATGGCCCAGGACCCTTCCAGAAAAGCTGAGAGAAGGGGAGGGAGGAGGTGCTGCGAGGAGCAACCCACGGGCGGGAGCCAGGCGGAAGAGAGCCAGGCCAGGAGGTCCGGCGGGCACAGCACCCTAGAGAGAAGAAGAGAAGCGTCAAGTGGCCCCTGGGGTCCCAAAACCTATTTGGGCTTTTGAATATCAGAAAGGTGCAGAAGGAGATATTTTGGAAAGCGCCCAGTGTTGTCCCTGTACCTTGCTGGGTGGCCACAGCAGAGCCCCAGGACAGAGCTAGCCTCTGGGTGGGCAAGTGGTGAGACTCTGGAGTCAGGAAAAGGAACCCCCAAGAGGCCCTCGCGGAGGGGTGGGATCGAGCGCCCTCTTTCTGCCTGCAGAGTTGCTCCAGAAAGGCGCCACCTGCATCACCAACCGCGAAGGCTGGGTGGGCCACCCCCTGGACCCCATTGGCTGCCTCTGCAGGGCGCTCCTGGAGGCCTGTCGCCTGGAGGAGGAGACCCTCTCCCTTTACCCAGGTACCCACAGGGGGAAGCCCTGGAGGACCTGGGACACACTCTTGCTGTTAGCCACGCCCTGCTATTGGCCACGCCTCCTGGCGCTCTGGAAGCGGATGGGCCCGGCTTCTGAGTGAGGCCACCCGTAGACCTAGCGACCACCAGAAGGGGCCTGGTGGCGAGTGCTGGGAGATTGGGCTGCCCCCTGCTTCACCCACCCCTATCGCGGTGCTTGGGCCCAGAGACCCCAAGAAAGGGGGTCCACGGTCGGTAGCTCCTGTCCCCTCTCCCTCAGACTCAGGACCCGAGAAGCGGAAGGTGGCCTACCAGCACGTGCCAGTGCCCGGGAGCCCTGGGGAGTCCTACCTGGCGCTGGCACTAGAGGTGGCACTGCTGGGGCTGGGGCAGCAGCGGGCCCTGCCCGAGGGGTTGTACGCCCAGGACAAGGTGGTGCGCAACGAGGAGCAGCTGCTGGCGCTGCTGGAGGAGGTGGATCTGGACGAGCGGCTGGTGCAGGTGCTGCGCAAGCAGGCGGGGCTGCTGCTGGAAGGTGAGGCCCCGCCCCGGTCCTCCCTGTCTGCTCAGACCTCGCAGGTCCTGAAAGGGAGAGCCCCCTCCTCCTTGGCTCCGCCCATGGTCTGGTCCTATTGGCTTATTCGCTGTGTCTCTGCCCACACCAAGCTGGCCCCGCCCCCTCCAGGGCCTCTGTGCTGATAAATTTGCTGGTAGCTCTGCCCCTGGGACAGGTGTTCCTTCCTCTCCAGCCTCTGACCCATGGTGCATGGGAGTCTGGACCCACCTAAGGGTGCCTAGGGACTCCTTTTTTTCTTTAGATTTCCGGAGGTTAGCTCAGTCTCGGCGCTGAGTGCCTGCCCCTGGGACCTCTCTGGCCCAGCCTATCTTCCATATCCATCCTGGAGCCTGGGGAGACGTGGGTTGGGGGTGGAGGAGAGCCCACACCGAGGGGCTGAACTCAGACTGTCCCTATAGGAGGTCCCTTCAGTGGCTTTGGAGAAGTACTTTTCCGGGAAAGCGTGCCAATGCACACCTGTGCCCGCTACCTGTTCACTGCGCTGCTGCCCCATGACCCCGACCTGGCCTATCGCCTGGCACTGCGAGCCATGAGGTGAGGACAGGTAGCAGGGGACACTGCCTGGATTTGGTGTGGGAGCAGGAGCGGGACGGGAATGTCCACGTGGTACTGGATTCAAAAAGTACACAGAGTGGAGTCCTTTTTGAGGCGGGTTTGTCGTGGCCCACCTGAATCTCAGTCTCTCTCCACATGATGAACAATTTGGAGGGGGGTGTCTTTCCAGGACATTTGGAAAGAATAATATGTAAGCATCATGAGTTCAAGAACAGCCTTTTAAAGTTTTCTTTTACTTTATTTGGTTGATTGATTGCAGTCCTGGTGATGGAACCCAGGACCCCCTGTGTGCTAGGCAAGTGCTCCACCCGAACTGTTCGTCCGCAACACGGAAAAATGCGTTATTATATGCGGGACTTTTCAAGGCTGCGTCAGGGAGCTGTAGTCCATGAACTTAATTTGATCTGCCACCTATTTTTGTGCAGCCCACGATGTTTCCATTTTGGGTGGTTGGGGGCACAACTCTGCTTTCCTAGCATGTGCCAGGCCCTGGGTTCCATCCTCAGCACTACCAAAAAAAAACGTAGTTTTTATTTTTAAATGGTTGAAAAATATATGAAATTCAAATTTCCGTGCCCCAAAATGAAGTTTTTTTGGCACCCAGCCACACGCACTCATCTACCCCACCGTTTGGTAGGTGACTACTTTTGCAGGAGGCAGAGCAGAGCATGTCTTTGCAACAGAGACCAAACAGCTTGCAAAGCCAAAAATACGGGCTGTGCAGCCTTTGGCTGATCCGTGGCCTAAGTCCATACAGCAACCTAGCTAAGTGAGCGTATTTACCCTCATTTACATACCGAAAAGATTTAAGGTGTCTTCCACTACCCAAGGTCACACAGCAAGGTCATTTATGTAATATTTGGAACCGGAATAGTTTTCACTGCTGTTAATTACATCTAGCAACTCTGAATAACTTTCATAGCAGAAAACTACATGCACAAGCTGGGCTTACACACCTGTAATCCCAGCAATTCGGGAGGCTGAAGCAAGAGGATCATAAGTTAGAGGCCAGCCTCAGAAACTTAGTAAGGCTTTGTCTCAAATTAAAAAAAAAAAAAAAAGGCTGGGGATGTACTTCTGCTTAATGGTAAAATGCCCTTGGGCTCTGTCCCGAGTGCCAGAAGCAAAACAAAACACAAGACTTTAGAGTCCTCTCCACATCCGTGGGTTTGATCAAACGCAGATCAAAAATATTTGAAAGAAAGCTGTGCCTGTACTGACCGCGTACAGACTTTTTGTCTTCTGTTATTCCCTAAGCAGTGCAGTGTGACAGCCATGTACGTGGCATTCACGTTGCCGCAGGTGTCCTAAATCTAGATATGAAGACACAGGAGGATGGGCCTAGAGTCTTCAAAGGCTGCACCACATAAATCTGAGCAGCCACAGGCTGGAGTCCACGGGGAGTCCCAGAATCAGTCTCCCACGGAGTCAGGGTGACCGCACAGTGAGCCTCTTAACAGGGCACTTTGTGGCCACCTTGAATCATTCAGCAAGCAGGTTCCCCTTCTGTGGCCCGGTGTTGCTCTGGTGAATAGAACAGTAAACAAAGAGGCACATCCCTGCCCTGGGGAGGGGACATTCTAGTGAGTGGCCGTAAATAAATGACTAGGTGAACACTCTTTTCTGCCTCTCAATGCAGTGACGCCGGAAAACAAGGCGGGCAGAGTGCCTCACAGTTCCTTGGTGGGGAAGTGCTCACTGAGCAATATTTGAGCAAAGGTCTGGAGGAGGCGAGGGAGGGGCCACCAGGCAGAGAGAACAGCCAGTGCAAAGGCCCTGAGGTGGGACTATACCTGGTGAGTTTGAGGGCGACTAGAGTGGAGGCAGTGAAGGGAAAGAGGCCATGGGGAGTGACGGAGAGCCGTGTCAGGAAAGCACTTTCCTCCCCCTGTTTTTTGGTACTGGGGATTGAACTCGGGGGCACTCAGCCACTGAGCCACCTCCCCAGCCCTATTTTGTATTTTATTTAGAGACAACACTGAGTTGCTTAGAGCCTTGCCATAGCTGAGGCTGGCTTTCAACTTGAGATCCTCCTGCCTCAGCCTCCTTAGCCAATTACAGGTGTGCGCCACCGCGCCTGGCTGTCTCCTCCCCTCTATATCAGCATGTGGCCTGGGGGATGAATGGAGCATTATTTTATTTAACTAACTTTCAAGTGATAGACATCTAGGCAGTTTCCTATCCCCTCTCTTGTTTTTTTTTTATTTAAATGAATTATGATGATGGTGATGGTGATTGATTATTATTTGCAGGGCCAGGGACTGAACCCAGGGGGGGCGCTCTACCACGGCCCTTTTATTTTCATTTTTTAATCTGAGACAGAGTCTCACTTAGTTGTGAGTCTGGCCTCAAACTTGAGATCTTTCTGCCTCAACCTCCAGAGTTGCTGGGTTAGACGCATGTGCCGTGGTGCCTGGCTCAATTTATTATTTTTTATCATCGGTTTTATTTGTGTTTCTGGAGTAGGGGGATAATCTGATACATGCATACAACATGCAACGGCCAAATCAGAGTAATTCGCACTTCCATGTCAAACCTTTCCCATTCTATGTGTAGGGAACCTTGGACTCTTTAGATATTTTGAAATATATCATAAGTTGCTGTAGCCTATCATCACCCTCCTGTGCCGTAACATAGGACACCGGAACCCATTCCTCCCATCTAGCCGCGTCTGGTACCCATCGTCCACCTCCCTCCATTCCTGTCTTCCGGCTCTTCCCAGTCTTCTGGTGACCACTACTCTTCTCTCTTCTTCTATGAGATGAACATTTTTGGATTTCACATGAGTGACAACAGGCAGAACTGTCCTACAGGCTTGTTTCACTTAAAACATCCCCCAGTTCCATCCAGGTGGCTGCAAGTGGCAGGATTTTAATTTTTTTTTTTATATTTTATTTTTTAGTTGTAGTTGGACACAATACCTTTATTTTGTTTATTTTTATGTGGTGCCGAGGATCGAACCCAGGGCCTCGCAAGTGCTAGGTGAGCACTCTGCTGCTGAGCCACAACCCCAGCCCCGGACTTTAAATTTTTTTTTATTTTATTTTTTTTCTTACTTGTAGTTGGACACAATACCTTTATTTCATTTATTTATTTTTGAGGTTCGAACCCAGCGCCATGCTAGGCGAGTGCTCTACTGCTGAGCCACAACCCCAGCCCCTTTAATCCTTTTTATGACTGAATAATATTCCATTGTGTAGGCCAACAGTGCCACAGTGAGCACCCCACACGTGTCCTCTGTCTTCCTGGGTGTGCGGGGTGGCTGCGCTGGGCAGCCCCTCCCACAGAGTCGGCAGGGCCACCCGCCCCTCACCAGGCTTGCTTCCCCCAGGCTGCCCGTGCTGGAGACGGCGCTTCCCGCTGGAGAACCCCATCCCACCCCGCTGGACTCCATCCCGAGCAACCGCTTCCCCCGCTGGTTCATCCTGGGCCACCTGGAGACCCGCCAGTGTGAACTGGCCTCCGCCATGCTGACCGCAGCCAAGGGTGAGGACAGTGACCACCTCTGTCCACCGTCCTCTCCACCTTCACCCTGGCCTCTCCTCCCTCCTTTGATCCTTTTGCCAAATTGCGCCAATATTCCTTGAGCGCCTTCTCTGTGGACCAGGCAAACTGTCCCCAGCCCCTGACCCGCGGGGCAGGCGGACAGTAAGGAAAAGATCTGCCACGCAGGGAGTAAGAGAAGGATCTCGGTGTGGGCGGCCAAGCAGGGCTGTGTTTGACTTGTTCTTTGGCAGCGCTGGGTTTGGAACCCAGAGCCTCACACAGGCCTGTCACGGGCTCGACCACTGAGCGGCGTCCCCAGCCCCAGCAGGTGGACGTTTAAGCAAAGACCTGCAGGTGAGGGCAGAGCTTTGCAGATATCTGGTCTTGGTCAGCTCGGAGGGCCACAACCAAACACCATCGGCTGTCAGTGCCGTGGCACACGCCTGTAACCCCAGTGACACAGGAGGCTGAGGTCAGAGGACCCAAGTTTGAGGCCAGCCTGGGCAACGGAGCAAGACCCTGTCTCAAAATATTTTTAAAACAGGCTGAGGATGTAGCTCAGTGATAAAGCCCTGGGCTCCATGTTTCAGAGTTCTGGATACTGTGTTTCAAGGTCAAGGTGCCTGCAGGAGCTTCTGGGTGACAGCTCCCTTCTTGGCGTGCACATGGCCACCTTCTTCACTCTCCACGAGGCGGAGGCTGGGAGAGAGGGAGGGAGAGTTCTTCAGTGTCTCTTCTTATAAGGGCCCTGATCCCCTCTGAGGGCCCCACCTCACGACCTGGCTTAACCCTCCACAGTCCCCACCTCCAAAACCATCGCGGTGGGGTGTTCAGCATGTGAGTTGGGAGGCCAGGGGGCGAGGGGGACTCAGTCCAGTCCATGGCATCTGGGAAGAGCATTCCACGCAGAGGGACAGCCAGTGCTCAGGGTCACACAGCCCAGGAGCAACAGGAGTGACAGACAGACGTTTGATTCCTGACATTCTGGGTCCAGAATCGATGCCCTGCGGGACATGGCTTCCTCCTGCTAGGAGAGAAGGACCGAAAGGACACTGCGTACTTGGCAGGTGGGGTGGGGCCGCCAGGGCTGGGAGTCTTCACAGGTGCCTTGCCTGGTCCTCCTCCTTGTGCCGCTAGTCCCCAGGCAGAGGGCCCTGGAACAGGTCGCTCAGCTGTGGGCCGCTGGTGGGTGGGTCTAACAGTGCCCCCGTGGCTCCCTCTGCCCAGGAGACCCCAAGTGGCTGCACGTTGTCCTGGGCTCCATCCAGCAGAACATTCACTCGCCCGCTCTGCTCTTCAAGCTGGCGCAGGACGCCTGTAAGACGGCCACCCCGGCCGGAGCGCCACCGGACTCCACGCTGCTCGGCATCGCGCTGGAACTGGGCCTGCAGGTGAGGTCACTCAGCGGATGGGGACGGGGACACCGCCAGGAGCGGGGCCTCCGGGGACGAGGCCTGAATAGGAGCTACTCCTTTGGGGGCGAAGTCTGAGCGTGAACCTGTCCCTGTGGGCCGAGCCGCAGACGCACCCGTGAAGTGAAGGTCTGGGGTAACCAAGGGCGTCCTCGGGTGAAACTGGAGGACGCTCCACCTTCTAAAGGACTCAAGGTTGGGGGTCACCTCAGGGGAGAGCCCGGGCCGGCCAGCTGTACATGGGCCTCGAGAGGGAGCAGAGCACCTAGGGTGTGGCTGGGGTGCAGAACCTGCCTGGAACGGGTGGCCCGGGTCCCATTCCCAGCGGGAGGTGGGCTGGTGTGCAGCTGGCTGAGGACCATTGGTAGGTGGGGCTGAAGCAGGAGCGGGGACAGAGCCTGCCAATAGGGAGCTTTCTTGGGGGTGGGGCTGGAGGAGAAGGCGGGGCTACTAGGAGGGCTGCAGTACTGAGGGTTGGGCCATGGAGGAGGGACCTGAAGGGGAGGGGCAGCCCTTCCGGGTGGCATTCTAAAGGCAGGGCCTGTAGCTGAGTGCGTAGTCCCCAAAGGTGGGGCAAGGAGTGGTCCTGCAAGTCGGATGCCAGCCTGTAGATGAGGAGTCACTTAAGAGGGTGTGGCCCCAGGAACCTGGAGGGGGCGGGGCCTGGGGGTGGGGCCTCGGGTGGCTGAAATTCAGTAAAAGCCCTGGGGACAGCTCCGCGTGACTTGCAGGATGGGGTAGGACCTTCCCAGGGAGAACAGGCGAGCGGGGCATCTCCAGGAGGTGGGACTGGCTGTGGACAGTCCCACGCAGCAGGGAGGAATCACTGTGTGGGCCGGGCAAGACCAGGCTGGCAGGTCGCAGAGACCCACGGGGAAGGAGCTTCCCGAAGGCAGGGCTGGGGTTCAGGAACTGGGGTGGGGCCCGAGAAGAGGGAAGCGCGTGAGGTGCTCACTGGGGTGGGATCTGTGGGCTGTCCGGTGCTTTCAGGTAATAGGGGGAAATCTGCCGGCTTGAAGCATGGAATTTTCCAGAGGGGACAGTTTGGTTCACTCCCTTGTAGGATCCCTGATGTAGGATCTGGGGTGCGGTCCATAATAGTAATGTTAAGGAGCGCTTGGACCCACTAGGCACTGCAGGAAGCGGTGCCCACCACTGCTGAGGTTGATGCCTGCGTCCCCCTCCTCCTGCCCCGTGTCTGTCTCTCTCTCTCTCTCTCTCTCTCTCTCTCTCTCTCTCTCTCTCTCTCTCTCTCTCTCGGTGCTGGGGATGAAATCCCGAGCTTCTCTCGTGCTAGCCAAGCTTTCTACCAGTGAACTACACCCGCAGTCCCAAGATTCAATTTCTGTCCCCATTTTATCGGTGAGGAGACTGAGACCGAGGAGTGCAGCTATTGGCCCTGGTGTTTTGGATCAGCTCTTAACCTCCAGGCCTCCTTGGGCCCGGGGCGCCTCCTCCACAGGCCAGCCCGAGATGCTGAGGAGCCGCCTGTGTCCCCTTTCCCCCTGCAGGTGATGCGCATGACTCTGAACACCATGACCTGGCGGCGGAGGGAGATGGTTCGCTGGCTGGTCAGCTGCGCCACAGAGATTGGTGAGAGCCCCAGGGGACGCACCCTCACCTCCCTGTTCTGGTTCCGGACGTGTCACTGAACTGGGGGACATGAGAGAAAGGCGGGTTTTTACCAAATTCCAGCCTGGGCCAGGCTGGGAGGGAACGTCGGGCTCTGGGGACGGAGGGGGACCAAGGGCGGTCCCTATCCCAGGCCCCCACAGGTGCCGCTCGCCCTCAGTCCAGCTGCGCCTGCTCCCTGGGGAAGGTAAACAGTTTCTGTCCCGTGTGGTAAAGAAGCGGCCCCGGTCCCTCTGCGGCTGTGGCTGCTGCAGGTTGGGGTGATGGCTGCGCCCTGGGCACCCCTTCACCCTGAGCTCTTTCCTCCTGACCTCCCCCCAGGTCCCCAGGCGCTGATGAACATCATGCAAAACTGGTACTCCTTATTTACTCCGGTGGAGGCGGCCACCATCGTGGCGGTGACCGGCACCACGCACGCCACGCTCATGCGGCTGCAGCTGGACACGGCCCGGCGGGAGGAGCTCTGGGCCTGCGCGCGCACCCTGGCCCTGCAGTGCGCCATGAAGGACCCGCAGAACTGCGCGCTGCCCGCCCTCACCCTGTGCGAGAAGAACCACGCGGCCTTCGAGGCGGCCTACCAGATCGTGCTGGACGCGGCGGCCGGCGGTCTGGGCCACGCGCACCTCTTCACGGTGGCCCGCTACATGGAGCACCGCGGCCTGCCGCTGCGCGCCTACAAGCTGGCAACGCTGGCCCTGGCGCAGCTCAGCATCGCCTTCAACCAGGACAGCCACCCCGCCGTCAACGACGTGCTGTGGGCCTGCTCGCTCAGCCACTCGCTCGGCCGCCATGAGCTCTCCGCCATCGTCCCCCTCATCATCCGCAGCATTCACTGCGCCCCGATGCTCTCCGACATCCTGCGCCGCTGGACCCTCTCGGCGCCTGGTCTGGGTCCCCTGGGGGCCCGCCGGGCTGCCAAGCCCCTGGGCGCCGACCGGGCGCCACTGTGCCAGCTCCTGGACGCGGCCGTGGCCGCCTACATCACCACCAGCCACTCGCGCCTCACGCACATCAGCCCGCGGCATTACGGCGACTTCATCGAGTTCCTGGGCAAGGCCCGGGAGACCTTTCTGCTGGCGCCCGATGGGCACCTTCAGTTCGCCCAATTCTTGGAGAACCTCAAACAGACCTACAAGGGCAAGAAGAAGCTCATGCTGTTGGTGCGTGAGCGGTTCGGCTGAGGGACGGTGCTTGGCATGGGACTCCTGGGGACCCCTGGGCCCTGCCTCCCTGACTCTGGCGGGCCTGGGCACTGGAGGCCCAGGAGGGGTTCAGTATTAGCCAGGGAAGGAGCCCTGCTGGACGCGGGCAGGAGGTGGCATCCTGCCTGCGTGCGTGCCTAGGAGTGTGTGAACGTGTGTAAAGACCCGAGGAGCACAAGCCATACTGCCACCCAGAAGCCTGGAAGGGGTGTGTGCTCGGGCAGCTGGCATGACCCCACCGGGGCCCCCCACAAGCAATAGGCAAGCTCCCTCCTCAAAACTCAAAGCCCTGGCGTGGGCTCCAGGAGAGGGGCCGGAAGGCAGGCCTTCCCAACTGGCACTCGGGCCCACCAGGCTGGCCAGGGGACTTTATGAGGACACCTGAATCCCCTCCTGCTCACCTTCCTTCCCCTCCCCCACTGCTCAGGGGCCCCCCTCCCCTGTCCTGTGCCCCCTCCCTACCCTGCCAGGACCAACGCCCCACTTCCACTGAAGGATTTCAAGAGGTCTCAGGCCTCAGCCACATACCTCACCCCCTTGTCCTCCTGTCTGGCCAGGACCCCATTCCCTTGGGCACCAGGGTCCCAGGGTGGGCTGGGTGGGGGGCCATCGCTGCCCCTCCCTCCACCCACTAGTCACTGGACACATGACTCAGGAACCAGGCGAGGCCCGTGTGCCCTCTCAACCTGGTGTTGGGGGAGAAAGGCAGGCAGCTTGGTGTCTTCAGCTGCTTGTCCCTCCCTGTCCCCCGTCTCCACCTCACCATTCAGCCTGTTCTGTCTTCATCTCTGTTAAGTCCCAGCTACTGTTTCTCCGGACTCCCCTCCCCTCCCCTGCCTCAGCCCAGGGAGGAGCAGGGAGGACCACCGTCCCCCACACACGCCCTCTTTTTTCCCTTCTTGTATAGTAAGGAAAAAGATCGTCATTTTGTAACTTTTTCTATTTATTGAACCGTATATTGTACTCCCTTTCTTTTTTGTTTTGTTTTTTTCTAAAGATGGAACACAGTTTCTTTTTAATTTATTTTGAGACTGGGGGGTGCCTCTCCTGCATCCTGGGCCAGGGCCACCCCCTTCCCTTGACCAAAAAAAAAAAAAAATTCTAGCTTCGTTTCTGAGCGTAGTTTGAAGCGAGGGTTGGAATGGGAGCGGCTGCTGGAGCCCTCAGAGGTAGTGGAGTGAGCAACGGCAAAGAGATGGAGTGTGTTTACCACTCGGTGCTTCTCAGCTGTCTTCTGCATGGCTCCACGGCCTTACAGATCGGTGGGGTTCCCCATACCCACTCTACAGGCAAGAAAACTGAGGCTCCAACCTTTAAGGAAAAGGCAGCCAGCTAGCAGGCAACTGATCTTGATTTAGTACCTGTGTCTGCCCCAAATTGTACGACCCTTGCACCGCCGAGAATGGCCACTAGGGTGCGCCTTGGCTCCAGGCCCCTGCGGTTGTGGGGTACCGTGCATGGGAGGAGGCCATGGCAGGTATTTGGGTGCACCTTGATGGGAAAGGGCACCCTGCCCAAAGGCGGGAACCTTGAACTAAGACTAGGCCTCGATGGGCAGAGTTCTGGACAGGTAAAGAAGTGGGTGTGGTTTTTAGGAGTGTCGCCAGGGCATGCTGGGCCTGTATCACTTCAAATGCGGCTCCAAATAGAGCTAAGGGGTCTGGGGACGAGGGAAAACCAATGGGAGAGGAAACCATTGGTTGTCCTCCTTCCCTGGTTTCCCAAGGAGCGGCTTCTTCAAGGCCTTCCTGTCTTTAGAGACTGGCAGCCAAAGGGCCTGTCTGGGTCATTGTCAGGGCCAGGGCAAGCGAGGACAAAGTTTTCCCGGAGGGGCCAGCGGCCACTAGAGGGCGCCGCGATCACACACACAGACAAGGGCGTGACTCCGATGGGCGATTTGCTCGTGGCACCGCCCTCCGCTCGAAGGAACCAATCGGGGGCGGCCCCGCCTCCTACCCCGCCGTGCGTGTTCCCGCAGGTATGTGCAGGCGGACCCGGGGCCGCCCACGTGCTCCTCAGCGCCGCCTGGTGGCCTGGGATGGTGGAGGTGATAAAATAGTCTTGAACCTGGAGCGCGCCTTCCTGTACCTAAGCTGCTGTCACCAAGAGAAGTTCCTCATGTACCTGGGGCGCCACTCGGGTTCGGCTCACGCAAATGTTCCCCATGGGCCTGGGGTCCTTCTCACGTCGCCCACCATCTCAAGTCAAAATTCCCTCTCTGCATGCTCTGGTGCCAGTACCCCAAGTATCTGTCCCGCCAAGCCTCAAATCTCAGCTGCCCCCCAAATGTCACTAGCTCTAGACTCTGACATCGCTCAGGACACCCTCCATCCACAAGAATAAATTCCAACCTTCTCCCACCTTCCTCAGAGCAGGTGGGGTCAGGAGCCCGGGTGCCAGGATTCAGGGGGATCAAAACCTGGATCTCCAAGGACCAGACGGCAGACCTTCAGGACAAGGCTAGTGACTTTATTTAATTAACTGCACAACGCACAACACAAACTCTCCCTCCTACCCCAGGCTTCGGCCTGCCCCTGGGCTGGGAAAGAGGACCTGGTCCAGCGCTGATGGCCTGGGGGCTCCCCTCAGCCTCTGGGTCCCAGCCCAAGGGGCCCTCATCCCAGCCGATTTCAGGATAGGCTTTAAGTTCCACCTTCAAGGCCACCGAGGAGGAGGTCAGCCTGCTTGTGTCCTTTCTGGGCCCACCTGGACCTTGTTCCCTGTCCCTCGTTCCCGGCAGGCACAGGTGTCACTGTTCATCCCCACAATTAGGAGTCTGCAGGCCCCGGGAGCAGGGCAGGCTCACTCGGCCAGGCCAGGCCAGGCCAGCTGGGTTCCGGAAGCTGGGAGTTGGCACTTAACGGTCAGGGGCCGAGCAGCTTCCTCTTGGGTAACTGCCTCGTTGATGGGACAGGGGCAGGCTGAGGAGAGGAGGGGCTGGGGTGCCAGACCCGAGAGGACACAGCTGGCTTCCCTTTTTCTGGAAGGGCCACCCACCTATCTCCATGTCCACCCGGGACCACAGCCCAACCCACAGTGGCCATGGGAGGGTCCCCAAAGGGCAGACTAGGGAGAAGAGACCTGCAGCAGACAGGACAGCCAGCTCGGCCGGCCACCCCCGCTTTCCTCGTCCCTTCTCCAGACACACCTGGGTCTGGGGCTGGCCTCAGCTTTGGGCGGCCGACCCAGCGGCACAGGGGCTGCGGACTCCGAGGGGGCTTGACCCCTGTTCCTGCTGAACTGAGCCAGTGTGCACGAACCAACTGTGTTTCAGCTCAGTAGGCACGGGGGGCGGAGCCCAGGGAGCCGGGCAGCGGGCAGCGGCAGGCCCCGAGGAGGTGGGAGCCCGGGGGGCGGAACTTAGCCACTGTGAACACGACTTGGTGTGGATCCTGCTCACAAGCAGCTAAGCCCTGCTCCTCAGGCCAGCATAGGTGGTGGCAGGGCATCTGACACCCTGTCCCCGGTGACATCCTCAGCAGCAACGGTGGCCCCGGAGGCAGAGCTCAGGGTCGGTTGGAAATCCCTGGCAATGTGATTTGTGATTGGCAGCAAATCCCATCCCCAGGAACCCCAGCCGGCCGTGGCACAGGGGTAGGGGCACTGGGTGGGCCCAGAGGCTGGCACCTGGAGGCGAGAAAGAGCAAAGGAGGTAATGAGAATTGGGGACACCACCCCTCCAGGTCCTCACTGGCCTCCTTCTGGGGCCCGCGGGGAAGCTGCTCCCCACAGGCAGTCCCAGGAGGCAGCGCTGGCCGTGGCTGGACCCCCACTTCTGGTCCCAGCCCTAGAGGCAGAGATGCCCAGAGAGCCGCCTTGGGCCAAGGAGGCTGCAGGAACTCCCAGAGCCAGTTCCCAGCCTTCCCCCCACTCCTCCCCACACCCCCACCCCTGTGCCTTGGGCAGGCCAAATGGGGCCGTGGCGAGAGGAAGCCGAGGGGGGGCAGGCAGGCGGGTGAGGAAGTGATCTCACCCCAGCTGGCGCCACTTCCTAGAAGCCGGAGGGCCAGGAGGAAACCACCAGGCCTCCCCCCAGTGGTCCTGTCTCCTCTGTGGCTGTGGCCGGGCCTCAGCCCGAATCCCTTCAGGGCGGATATGGGCACAGAGGGCCCAGCTCCCCCGGAGCACTCATACGACCCCCCAGGACACAGGACCCAGGCTGACACCACTGGCTTTGCCACCCAAAAAGCCCTAGTGATGTTCAAATCTCCTGTTCTGCATCTTTCCAAATGCCCCACGCCTCAGTTTCCCCATCTGCAAAATGGAGCCAAGAGCTTCTCGCACATAACCCCGCGAGAGTTCACCGAGGGATACGTCGCTTGGCGAGCGCCCCACACCAGGGCAGGCCACTGAATTTGTGGGGACCAGTGCAGAATGAAAATCTGGTTTCTTGTTTGCAAATTAAGAACTTCATGGGGCTTAGGGTGCCGCTTAATAGACGAGCAGGAGCTTAGCTACACGAAGCCCCGGGTTCCGTCACCAGCACTGCCCAAAAGAAGGTTTTCAAGGCAGCTGTGACAGATGAGATCCAGTTCAGGTCCTTCAAGAAGGGAGCCTTGAGACTATACAGGTCACACAGTTGTGACAGATCCTCTTATGGTAAGTGCCCAGTGGCTAGAAGACACCGATTCTAGAGTCTGCCTACCACCTGAACCCCACCCTGACCCCTGCTCTGCAGCTTCCCAACTGGGTGACCCTGGGCCAACCACTCAACCTCTCTGGGCCTCAGTTTCCCCATCTACAAACAGCGTCAACCACCCGCTTCGTAAATGGTGTACCATACGTCACACACAAAATCAGGACAGGGTGATGCCGTCCTCATCGGGCAGGACAAGGGAAACAAGGAAGCCCCACGCCGTAAAGACCCCAATGTCCAGATCTGGGGTCACCTACCACCAGGAAGCAGGCAGTGACAGTGTCTCACTTGACCCCCACTCACGCCAACACCCCCCCACACTGGCCCCAGCCCAGCCCTGTACCCTGAGGGTCTGGGGGCACCAACTGGGAGCCGACTTGGTCCAGCACAGCGGCCAGCCTCCCAGGGCCGCCTCCGGAAGTGAGACAGCATATTCGTGTCCCAGGGACGAGAACGGGAAGGGCGGCCATTTGGCCAGGCTCGTTTCCTGTGGGGTTTCCCCTGCACAGAGCCCAGGGCCCGGGCCAAGGCCACTCCCATCCACAGGCACAAGAAGTCTGGGTCTTGCGTGGAGGGGGCACTGCCACGCAGGTGCCCGCCGCCGCCGGGGGCCCCTTCACAGTAACCATGTACCCCTGGGGTTCAGGGCGATGGTGCCCAGAGCAGGCCAGGCCCTGGCAGCGGGAGCGTGGGGAAGAGGGTGGCCCCTGGGCTGGGCGGCACCGCGGTTCCCAGGCTTCCCAGGACGCCCGCCGGCCGGCCCAGGTCTGTCTGCACACATGGCCAGATGCTGCCCCAGGCCGCGTGGGTCGCCCCAGACACGCGGCACCCACTGCCCCCGGCCGGAGCTCCAAGGGTGCATCAGGGGTGGCTTCTGCCGGGGCGCCTCCACCGCGCCCCCAAGCCTGATCCCCAAATACTTTCCACCTCCCAGAGCAGCTGGGATCGGAAAATACCAAGGCCCACAGGCCCCGCCCTGCCCGCCGCCGCCGCCGCCGCCACCGCCCTCCCAGCCTGTCACCAGCGCTTTGCCTAATGGGCTAGACTCTCAACAGAAGCTCGCGGGCTGGCCCCGCGCCAGCCGCCAACCTGGGCCGCCCCGCCGGGTGCCGCCCGGCCACCGGCCCCCCACTGTCCCCATCCCAGAGCACACACAAGAACAGCCCTCCTGGGTGACGTGGGGAAGCCCGCGGGGGCTGGCACCAGGACAGGGAAGCCAGGGTGCGCGCCAGTGGGTGGCCCCCGTGCCCACCCAGGGCCGAGGGGGGGAGGCTCAGGAAGGGTGAGTGATGGGGACTGAATCATTTGTTATAAATAGGGGAACACGAAAGCCGCCCCGCCCCCGCCGCCCAGGGCTCCTCTCCCGGCCCTCCAGAGCCAAGCAGAGCGCACTCACGACCACCCAGCCCTCCCCGGGGTGCCCACCAGCAGGCCCCCCACCTTCTGACAGGTCCGCTTCCAAGCCCTGGCCTGGATTTCAGGGACCACTGGCCTCGAGGACAGTCACTGGTGCCTTTTCTTTCTTCTGGTGCTGGAGGTGGCGCCCAGGCCCGGGGCAGGGGCTCCTCCACGGAGCCACATCCGCAGCCCAGGTTGCTGGCTCTGACCGGCTCCTTCCTCCCCTGGGAACCCAAGGCTCCCCAGGGTGAGGGCGCCCACAGTCGGGGTGGCCATGGGAGCCCAAGCTAGGGGAGGCCAGGGTATCTCGGAAGGCACTTCCTGGCTCCTTGCCATGATGCCCCAAGCCCGGGACCACCCAGCCCTGCTCTGCCCAGGGCCACAGCTCAGTGACCACACCCAGGGTGGCGCCAGCTCCAGCCCCCGGGGGCAAGGCGCCGCTGCAGTGTGACTCAGTCGTGCCCAGTGTGGCGGGGTCCTGGCCCAAGCACTCTCACACCCACGCCCAGGCCTTGCACTCCCATCCTGCCCAGGTGACCGGCCCTGAAGGCAGAGCCATCCGGAGGGACACGAGGCACACCTCTGTGTCCGCATAGGACACCTGCAAGCAGGAGGGAAAGTGGCCAGAGTGCCCCTGAGGGATCTGAAGTCGAGGCCCCGGACAAGGACAAGAGGGGTTCCTTCCACTCGGTCTCCGAAGACTCCCCACTTACAGCCGCAAAACAGAGCGGGCAGAGTAGGTTCTGGGGTCACACAGTAAGTCTGAAGGGAGCAGCCCAACCTGGCGTAAGGCACATCCAGGGCACCCAAGAAGCCCTTGAAGGGGGTCATCTGAAGGCCACCCGGGGCTCTCCGCAGCATTACACACTCCAGACGGAACCCCTGCCCCCCCCCCCCAGCCTCCCAAGGTGAAGGGCAAACTCAGAGAAATGCCCCATGATGTACAAGCACCACCTGGCCCACGGCAGTCAGGTCACCCCACTGTGCCCAGGGGCCTGCTGGCCTGTTCCCCGTGGAATGTAACGGGTGGGGGCCTGCCCTGCAGCTGAGGCTGCCTGGCACATCTGTCACCCACTTGCTTCAGGCAGGGGGTGTCATGCCATGGGGTCCTAGGAGGACCCCTGGAGCGCCCGCCTCCCGTCTTTCTTCGACAAGCAGGAATCTGGGGAAGTCTGGGAAGCAGGGCCAGCACGGACAGGCCCGGCCAGACACGCCCTGTCACGCATGTGTGCGCGTGCCATCCCCAGGCCAGGCCGACAGCTCCCTTAGGGCCCCTCTAGGCCCACAGACGAGGCTTGCTGGTTGGGGTCTTGAGGGAGCTCCCAGAGGACATCACACGAGGACAGAGGGCAGTGGGTGGCCCCCGGGATGCCAGGACAGAGCTCGCCCCAGGGCCAGGGCCTTCGCCTGAAGGCTGCCTGCGAACACATGTGCCCAGGCTGGCCAGGCGCGGTGCGTGGGCGAGCGGCAGGGTGTGTCTCACGTCAGCGCGCCCCTAAGCCCGGGCACCTGTCGGTGCGCCTCCAGCCTGGGCCAGCAGACAGGGCTGCCAGAGGACACCCCTCATGCCAGGGGTCCTGTGCCCGCCTCCCCTGTACAGACCCCTTGTCACCAGCCAACAGCTGATTGGAGCTGGGGAGGGGGCAGGTGACATGGAATAAGGGCACCGCTAGGCATTCAAGAGGACACGGGATCTGGAGCCTGGCTGGGCAGGAAGGTCAGTTAGGGTTGGGGGCCTTGGTGGCAGTCAATCCAAGGCTGGAACCGTCTGGGGCTAGGAGAGGGAGGACGGGGTTCAGCTGGGCCCTTTCACCCTCCTGCCGCCCAAGGGCATAGGGACCCTGCGCTGACAGGGCTGGGGAGCCAGCCCTGAAGAGTCCCCCAAACCTGTCCTTTCCCAGGCACCCTGAGCCAGCCCTTCCCTCCTGGGCCAGAGGGGACAGGGGGCACGAGACATCCCCTGAGCCCTGCGGCTCCTCCGGCCCTCCCCAGCGGTAGGCCTTCCTCCCCTCGCCAGGGCGACATGTCAAAAACTTGAACTACTGTCCCCAGAGAGCCCCCTCCCAAGCCTCCCGTGCTGCGGGCCACCGGCACCCCGTGGGGGCGGGCCCTGCACAGCCGCCCCTGCCGGGCCCAAGTTCAAGGCGGGCGCACGCCCCCAGCCCGCCCCGCCGGTCGCCGGCCGCCTCCCTCCACGTCCCCGGGCCTGAGCGAGGGGCGGGCCGCCCCTCCCCCACCCGCAGGGGGCGCCCGGGGCTCGGCCGTCGCCAGACGCGCGGTCCCCGCGGCGCCCCCCTCGCGCCCGCCCCCTCCGCCCACGACGCCGGCGCCGAAAAGTTGCCGCCGCCGCGGCGCCGCGCCCGCCCTGGTGCGCGCTCGGTCCCCACTTACGGTCCCCACTTACCCGGGGAGAGGACCGGGCGCTCCCGGCTCCGGCCGCCGCCCCGGGCCGCGGGCCGAGACGCAGGCGCGCTCCACCCCACTCACTGGCCGCCCCGCGGCCCGAGCGCCTTTAAAACCTCCCCGTCTCCTCCCCCCACGGCCGGGCAGGGGGCGGGCGCGGGGCGGGGCGGGCGCGCCGTCATGTGCCCCCGAGGCGGCCCGCCCCCACTTTCTCCCTCGGCCCCCCAACTCAGTCCGGTCCCCAACTCAGCCGCAACTTTTTCCCTCCTTGTCCCGAATCGACTCCGGCCTGGGTATTCTGGGATCCTACCAAACAGGGATCCCCACTGCCACAGCACCTTCCCCAGCCTTAGGAAGTCCCTTCTTTTATCCCACCCAGCCCTCTCCTGCTGCCCTGCAAAAGACTGACTCCCGGCCTGGTGGTCCCTGGGTCTGGGTCCCCTCCCTCATCCCAGGCTTCCCGGCACCCTTCCCCCACCCACCAGGAACCGCTGGGAAACTCCCCAGCCCCCCAGAGTATCCCAGGGAGAGAGGCCCAGGATTCCTCCCTCTTTCCCTGCCGGCTAGCTCTCTCCCTCATCCTCTGGCCTACCCTCCACCGGGAGGAACACGGCGGCATTGTTCCCCAGGACGGGGCCCTGCCTCAGGGCCTGGCCCAGTGCCCAGGTGGGGGGCCGGGAACGACACTCAGAGAGGAGGGGCAGGCGGGGTGCCCTCTGCAGCCAAGCCAGCCTCCTTGGGTACTCGGGCTGTCACTGTGCCCTCCACAGGACAGGACAAAGGCGGAGAGACCCCTGCCGTCCCCAGGAGCACCATCATGCCGCAGTGGGGGTCCGGAGCCTGGCGAGCCCTTCCCAGAACCCGGTGGCAAGGTTCTGGGGGATTCCCCCCCCACGTTTCCCAGGACAGAGCCGGCTCCCACCTCCTGGGTGGTAAGAGGCCGGTGGAGAGACAGGTTGGGTGCCTCCGGGAGCGCACCTCCCAGAACCTCTGCAGGGTCCCCCATTTTGTCCATTCAGCTCAGCCATCTCCTGCTTTGGGTCTCCTTGGGATGGGGAAAGGGGCGGAAGCCACACCTAGCTGCCACCCCATGAGGCCCAGCCTGGGGGGCTCCCAGGGCTTTCTTCCCTGTGGGGCCCAAGGGGCAGGCTGGCCCAGACTGCAGGATCTGGCAGGTTGGGGCAGGAGGGTGCAGAGCCATCCTGTGGGGCCCCGGGGGAGGATTTGGGGTGGCACAGAATTCCCCAACTCAGGGTGGGGCCGGAAGGTGGGGGCTGCGCCACGTGGCTTCCTGAGCAGTTCCAAAGGAGCTCGGCGCTCCCAGGTGGGCCTGGGTCTCCCCGCGGACCATCACATAGGCACCAGCATTCACGGGACACTCAGGTTCCCGAGGTGGAGAGCCACCCCGTTATGACAAATGCAGTGCGAGTCTCTGTAGCACCCCCAACCACGCCGTTCCTCCGGAATGTTCCACTCCCACCCAGAACGAGAGCTGCTGTCCAGCCCCAGGCACGCCACCATCTATGCAATCCGGAAACGCCTCCTCTGCGGCCCCTGGGGATACCTGTTCCCCAGGGTCACGGATCCAGTGTTGGTCATTCTCCACGTGTGGCATGTGGTGCCCAGCCACTGAGGAGCGTCCCTCAGCCCACGCTTGGAGGGAACTGCCGTGGCCATCAGCCCTCCTCTGGGTCTCCTGACATTTGCCTCCTGTGCCCAAGCCCCGAGCTGGCTGATTTACCCAGGGACTGCAGCCGAGGGGACGGGGCTCACCAAACTGGCCCACTGAGGTTTCTGTCATGACAGGTAGGGAGGAGGGACAGGGTGAGGTCAGGTCAAGTGGTCAAGTGGCATGCCCATTTGTTCCTTCCATAAACATTCATTGGGTAGCTGCTGTGTGCCAGGCACTATTCTGGGCACCGGGGACACAGGAGACGGGGACAAAAAACCAACCCTGCCCTGGTGGAGCTGACATCCATGGGGAGAAATGAACAGAATAAGCAGATAGAAGGGTATAAAGAACTTCTAGTGTGTTGAGTGGGGGGTACAGGCTAGAAGATCTAGAAGGGGGGGTGGGAGTGAAGGGTTAGGGGCTAGGTCCAGAAAGGCCTCTCTGAGGTGATATTTGTACAAGGACTTTAGTCTCTCTCCTCGAGAGGGGAGCCACACAGATAACTGGGACAAGAGAGTTCCAGGCAATGGGATCAGCAAGTGCAAAGGCCCTGAGGCATGCACATGCCCAGAGTATTCAAGAAACAGCAAGGAACTCAGTCTGATGGAGTGGAAGAACAACACTTCAGATCCCTGCTCCCTGACTTTGTAGCTGCATATCTTCAGCCAAATTCTCAAACCTCCGTGAGCCTCAGTTTCTTAATCTGTAAAATGGGACGAGAAATGTACAGTTGGCGGCTGTCACAAGACTCTGAAATGTGTAACTTCCTGGCCCAGGGTAGAAGTTGGACAGGCATGTTCACATAGGTTACATCAGGTACACCCAGGCCCAGGGTGGGGGCCGTGTCAGGGACCCTGACAAGCCCAGGCGTCCCACAGGTCACCCTGGCTCACATGCAGGGCGCCTGCCGGGCCCCATGGCAACGCTGCATACAGAGACATCAAACAGGCCCTGCCGAGGAAGTCCCACGTCACTGTGGTTAAGGGTGGCTCCTCCCAGCCCAGCCCCCGGCTGGCGGCTGTACTTCTCCTTGTCAGTCAGGGCCCCTGCCTCTGGTCGCCCAGGCGACTGGCGGTGGTGTTATGGACTGTGCGAGGATCCCACCACCGAATCCCTACCCCCTCCCTGGGGCACAGCCACTCCCCACATCCGGGGAAGGACATTATGTGGTGGCCCCAGCTCACTGCCTCTAACCCTTCCATTCAATAACTCCACGCCCGCGTCTGGAGCACAGGAAAGACTTTGCCCCTAACCTACGGTTCAGAGAGGGGCAGAGAGGACTCAGGGGTCTGGGAGGACCCCAGTCAGGTGCCAGGAATCCCTTTTGCAAAGAAGAGTTCTAGAGTGGCTCAGGGTACCTTGGGGTGGGTCACACGTGGGACTAGCCCCCAGGCCTGGCCCAGCCCCCACCTGGGACTGACTCAGACCCACCCAGCCTCCAATGACATCAAGGCCTGGCCTGCCACCCTGACCTGGCGCTTGGCCAGAGTTGGGGGGTTGCCCCAGAGGAGTCATTTCAGGCAGCCCTCCCCGACGGCCGGCAAGTGCAGGGTTAAGGAGGAGCCCTTCTGGGGGTCTCCCCTCCTAATCCCATCCCCCTTTCCCGGGGATTTCGGGCCCCAGCCCCTCTGACGTCACTGGGGGTTGCTATGGTAACTGGCCGAAGTTCCCAAATAAAATTACCGCGGGCGGGTTAAGTTTCCTAGGAGGCAGCCGAGGGGTAAACAATGGCGGTGGCAGGCGAGGCCCGACCAGGGCCGTCTCCCCCTTTCGCCCCCAACTCTGCTGGGACCCGGGAGTCCCCAGAGCGCAGAGCGGGTCTCCCGTCCCCGCCCGGGAACCCTTGAGCACAAGGGGACTGGGCACGCAGAAGGGGGACGGCGAGGCCACGACGAGTGGGGGTTGGGGGCGAGGGGGACCAGGAGGGGTGGCAGGGGCGGCGGGAACAAAGCGGGGACCCGAGGCCGGGGACCCCCCTCCGCACGCCCCGCCCTGCCCGCCGCCAGTCCAGCTGTGGCTGCTCCCAGCTGCCTGGCTCCACATCTGGCGGCCGCGCTCACTTCCTGTCGCCCCGCTGCCGGGAGGAGGTAAAAATAACCGGCCCCCTCCCCCTGCCGCGGGCGCGACGGAGCCTCCCGGCTGGAAGAGGGCGAGGCCGAGCCTCGGCCCCAGAGAGGAGGCCCCCTGAGGCCGCCGCCCACGGCCCCGTGTCCCGGCGGGAGGGCGCACGGGGCGGCGCAGCACCAGGCTGCGCGAGGGGGCCGCGGCGTCTGTCGCATCGGGAAGGCCCTCGTGTCGCAGCCCGACCCCGTGGAAGAGGGGTCGCTGATGGACTGGGCTCTCACCAGGTCCATCGCCCGCTAATCATGTAGGCAGTTCAGGAAACCTGGCCACGGCCACCTGCGGGACAGTGGGAAGGAGGCGCGCACCCCGCAGAGCGCTTCGCCCAATCAGGGTGCTGTGCCCGTCGGCGAGGATGCTGGGACACTCCCCCAGTGGGGCTACCAGATAAAACCTGGGACACGGGCTCGGGGTGATCCCATTTACACACTGAATCCATGGGTTTTCCTAAGTAGACTTCTGATTCCTCAGGAACCCCGTATCCTTTGTTCATTTGTTTCCTGCACCCAACTATGTGACTGACTGAGAGATTTATCCAGTCATTTGAGTAAAGTGCCTTTGTCCCCCCCTGGTACTGGGACTTGAACCCCCCGGGGTGTTTTACCACTGAACCACACCCTCAGGTCCTCTAGCCACCTGCTGGGTTTTTTTGTGTTATTTTTTGAGACTGGGTCTGGCCACGTTGCCCAGGCTCATCTTGAATTTGCAATCCTCCTGCCTCAGCCTCCTGAGTGGCTGGGATTACAGGGTGAACCTCGCTGGGGCCAGCTGATTTTTTTTTTAATTGGTATGGGGGATGGAACCCAGCGTCTCTGGCAGCATACTAAGCAGCCCTCTACCACTGAGCTACAACCCCAGTCTCTGAGTATTTCTTTTTTTTTTTTAATATTTTTTTGGTAGTTGTACATAACTTTATTTGTTTATTTATTTATTTATTTTTATGTGGTGCTGAGGATCGAACCCAGAGCCTTGCACATGCAAGGCAAACGCTCTACCGCTGAGCCATCAGTCCCCCTCTGAATATTTCTTAAATGGTACAAAGGCAGAGACTTCTCAGGTAGCTGGTCGCTTCCCTACCAGAGGCCAGTTGACTGGTGACTATTATGGGGTGCTGGGTAGCCCAGGGGGAGGTGATCTAACGCTGGCTCCCAGGGTGGCCTCTCCCTGCCCTAAGATAGTGTGGCAGTCTGAAAGGGGACCTGACCCAGCCTCTGGAAGGCAGGGCCTTCCTCTGCCTGTGTCCAGAGTCCCCAAGGAACCCGGCCAGCACCCCCTCTCGACACAGACAC